GAAAAACGTTTCTTCAGCTTGGAGCGTAGGATGCTCGCTTCACCCCAGTTAAAGGAAGCTTATGACGGCGTCATTAACGAATATATAAGAGAAGGTTACATATCACTCGTGGCTTCGAAATTAGATAACTACGAAGACCACCGTCGTATTTCATACCACACCACGGGGTCATTAGGGAGGACAAACTTACATCTAAGTTACGTGTAGTGCTCGACGCTAGTGCTAAAACTAGCACTCACCTGTCGCTTAACGATATCCTCTATAGTGGGCAAAATTTACAGGGCAGTTTATTTAATATAATAGCCAATTTTCGTTTGTTTAGTATAGCACTATCCGCCGATATTCGCCAAATGTTTCTTTGCATAGGGGTCCGTGAATGCGACCGTAGATTCCAACGCATTTTATATCGTTTCGACCCAAAGGAACCTCTAATGGTGTTTGAATTTAACCGCGTTTGTTTTGGTTTAAAGTCCAGCCCATTTCATGCGTTACGCACGGTGAAACAGCTCGCCCACGATGAAGGTCCCTCTTACCCTAAAGCTAAGAGGGCAATTGAGAGCGGTTTATATATGGATGATTTTGTGTACTCGGTCGATAGCGTGGAGGAGGCCACCCTAACCACCGCCGAGGTTATAAAACTCATGAAATCGGGTCAATTCGATCTTGTGAAGTGGACTAGTAATTCGCGTCCGGTTTTAGATACAATCCCACTATCACACCGTCTTTCGGCGATAAAGGAATTCGACGATTCTGATACACACAAGGTGCTCGGTCTGTGTTGGTCATCAGAGTCCGACGTGTTTAGCCTTAAGGTAAATCCGCCCGTAGAGAAATGCACAAAGCGCACAATACTGTCATGCGTTGCTAGATTATGGGATGTCATGGGTTTCGTAGCTCCGGTGGTATTATACGCTAAGCTTTTGATTAAACAACTTTGGTTATTTGAATGCGATTGGGATGATTCGCCGCCTGACAGCATTGTTCGATTGTGGCAGCGCTTTAGAGAGGAACTTTCTTTACTAAGAGAAATTAGAATACCGCGTCATATAACCGTCGATAGAAATAGCGTCATAACGGTCGTTGGGTTTGCAGATGCCAGCGAGAAGGCTTACGGGGGCGTTGTATATTTCCACGTTCAGAATAATGGTAGAAATTCGATTAGCCTCATTAGTTCTAAGTCGAGAGTCTCCCCCCGTAAGGTTGTCTCTCTGGCGCGCTTAGAGCTTTGCGCAATATTAGTACTCACCAAGCTTATTACCGCAGTTATCAGCGCATGTAGGGATAGAGTTCACATAGAAAGGATATTTGCCTTTTCCGACTCCACCGTCGCCTTATGCTGGGTTCATTCTTCACCCCACCGTTGGGATACGTTTGTCGCGAACCGAGTGGCCAAGATCCAAGACGAGTTAGAAACGCGGAACTTTTATCACGTGTCCGGTACGGAAAACCCTGCCGATTGTCTATCCCGGGGACTCACCCCGATGCAAATAATGGACCACCCGCTTTGGTTCCACGGACCTTCTTGGGTTCACTTGGATCCCTCGCAATGGCCGATAACCGATTTCGAACCTTCGTCAGTGTCACAACTGCCGGAAGAGAAGAGACACGCTCTAGTGGCGAACGTTTCGAGCGAGGTTTCTCCAATCATTGCTTTGGCGAACCGCTTGTCCTCTTGGTCGAAATTATTGCGTAGCGTAATTTACGTTTGTCGATTCGCGAAGCTTTTACCGCGACGTTCGTATCTCTTAGCGTCCGATTACAACTATGCCGAGTCGCTAGTATTACGTGAACTTCAACGTGCACACTTCTCTGAAGAAATTACAAGATTACAATCGAATAGAGCTTGTAGTCGCGCCTTTCAATGCCTTAAGCCATTTTTACAGGATGGGATTGTAAGGGTAGGTGGACGCTTGTCCAACTCGCAGTTGAGTTTCGACCAACGGCACCCTATAGTTTTACCGCGTGAAGACCATATCATGAACTTATTAGTCGATTACCATCATAAATTGAACTCGCACGCTGGGCCCGACTTGTTGATGTCGATTTTGCGTCAGAATTATTGGATTCTTTTGTGCACGTAGTTTAATACGCAATCGGGTGCACAGATGTATAGCTTGCTTTCGGGCACGCCCCAAGCCGTCATTTCCGGAAATGGCGGAACTTAGATCTTGTAGAATAATACAATCGGTAAAGCCCTTTACGCACACCGGGTCTGATTTCGCTGGTCCGTTTAAGGTCACGTTCACTCGCGGGCGTGGTATAAGATCCACAAAGGCTTACGTCTGCATTTTCGTATGTCTAACTACTCGAGCAGTGCATATAGAACTCGTGGTTGATCTAAGCACAGCAGGCTTTATGGGTGCATTTAAAAGATTTCTATCCCGCAGAGGCCCTGTAAGTAAATTATATTCGGATAACGGTACGAACTACGTCGGTGCAAAACGTATTCTATCGGAACTACATGAGCTCTTAGCTAGCAAGTATTATAATTCGGAGTTCGCTCACATTCTAGCCGAGAACCGCATTGAGTGGTCTCTGAACGTCCCAGCCGCGAGTCATTTTGGAGGCAATTGGGAGACTAATATTAAGAGTCTAAAGAGTCACTTATACCGAGTAATAGGAGATCAAATTTTGTCCTTCGAAGAGCTAAGTACGGTGCTCGCTCAAATTGAATGCGTAATGAATAGCCGCCCACTTTGTCGGACGTTGTCTAGTGACCCCTCGGAACCGCTGGCTCTAACTCCAGCACATTTTTTGAACTTAACGCCTTTAAAGTATTTGCCCGCCGTAGATATGGATGAGAACAGACTTAGTATTTCCGCACGCCACAAATTATTAGACCGGTTAGTGCAATCGTTTTGGAAACGATGGAGGATGGAATACTTGCATACTTTGCAGTCTCGGCAAAAATGAAACACAGCGACTGAGCCTTTAGCTGTAGGAACTGTAGTTGTGCTCACTAAGGAGAATACGCCACCTCTCCACTGGCCGTTAGGAATTATCGAAGAGGTTTTTCCCGGTTCCGACGGAGTAATTAGGATAGCTCGCGTTAAGACCACGGTTGGGTCTTACCTGCGTCCTGTTGTCCGTTTGTGCCCCCTGCCTCTTCCATAATTTAAATTAGCTTTCTAGATTAAAATTGTAGTTGAATTTAGGTAATCTTAGCGTTAGTTAGTTATTTGTTAGTTGATCTTAGCTCTAGTTGTTTTAGTTATTTTTTGAAGGAGATCCTTCAAGGGCGGGGGAGATGGTTGCGCGGAAAACCATTCCTATTTATTTTAATTGACGGTAGGCTGCCAAATCGGTTATCCCTTTCCAAAAACGATATCATTCATACCCTCCTATCGACACATCGGGGTGGTGGGGTGGGAGGGGAAAGAAGATGATTCTAGAACATCACGTAATCATCGGAACCGAGGATATATAAGACACGCGCGACCGACGCGTGGTCTCTTCCCGCCACGCTCGTCGTTGAAACCACACCGCCTAGGATAATAGTGTCCTAAAAAGCTCTCTTCCCGCCGCGCTCGTCGTTGAAACCACACCGCCTAGGATAATAGTGTCCTAAAGAGCTCTCTTCCCGCCGCTTCCGTTGTTGAAACCGCACCACTAGTAGAAACCGCTTTAGCCCGGAAGCAATCGAGCTCCAGGAAACCCGCCTCACCTCGTGTGAGATATAGTCGCGCACCGCCTCTCTCCGGAGTGTTCCAGAAGAAGTTCCAGAAGTCGCAGTTATAGTGCTCGACCGCATAGAAGAAACATCCCGGTGAGTCAATATCCAATATTATAGCCTGCTTGATATAATTGTTTTAACCCGCTCCAATTTTGTGTTTTCCTAATCAAGCAGGATTCCCTTCATCGATTTGGCAAATAATAGTTCGTTTTTTTAGGGAAGAGCGAGTGCATTGTACCGCATATATAAGTGTAGAAGCATATTGTAGATACAGTCCACTTAGATTAATATCTCGCGTAATAGGTTTAAAGTTCGACCGCGGAATTAGACTTCGGCAACCTTAGACACGTGGCTCCACCAGTTGGTCCCATTAAATTTTGAAGAAAAAATTCCGCCCCAAGGGTGGAAAATAGGGGAAAAATGTTTCATATTGCACTATTGTTTAAGGAATTTCATACGATATCTTTGCCGATAAAGAACTGATTATCTGCGAATATATTTATAGATAATTCTTTTTTTCTTAAATAGGTTATACTTCAGGGGTTATTTCATATAAATTTAGAGAAAAAACTCCACACCAAGGGTTGCAAATAAATAACTTCCTTTTTAGTAATTTTAAGTCGGTTTTTACTTTTAATTAAAAGTTATTTTTATTTATTCATCAACTTATTACAAAATTATTATGTCGTCGATAAAATTGTGCTGCCAGAGAAATGAAACTTATTGAACTGACAGAACAATTTATTTGAAAGAAAAATTCATGCTTGATTGAAACTAGAATAATGCTAAAAGTTTCTTGGTTAATAATGTGTTAGAGTTACGTCGCAGCTGTTACGACAGCAGCACGAATGAGTCTGCTTCACCAGTGAAAAATCGGCGTATTAGTTAGAGAACCGGCGCCTTTTTTACTGGTAATGAGGCAATCCACATTAGTCCTCAGGGGTGATAACGCATCTGCACTGCAGCTGTCTATATGCCACAGTATCTACTTTCCATCAAGTGGACTGTCTGCTCGTTTGACAGCCTTATTCTATATAAAAAATCATAAAATACCTTTTAGTATCTAATACAATATTTAAGAATGAGATCTGAGACAGATTTATGAGGACATAAAATTGAAGCTTTGAGAAAATCCAGATAGAAGAGGGGGCAAACTGGCTTGCGGCTCATGGTAAGTGCCTGATGGTAAGTGTCGACCGCCGCCCATGAACAACTTCAACGCCAGAGGAATTGCAGTTGCGTTGCTGGGCTTTTAAAAAGGAGTAATCTCGTTTATTGAATGAATGTACAGTGACCAGATTTGCATTATGGATAAATTATGACTTACAGCACTGGTATCAAAGCCAGTTACAGCCGCTTGCTCTTCACAAACACCGTCAAGAATGACAGGGCCGCCATTGTTATCGGGATAGTAGAAACAGTCATCTTCCGTGTGCCCGCGTTCATTGTAATATTGCTGGCGGAGTACTGGGATGGTAGACATGACGTTGTTGATGGTCTGATTTGCTGCCTCGGTCAGGCTACGTTGTCTACTGAGTTTCCAGCTTGTTACTGCCAAAAAAAAATCGATTTGGTTAAAAACGATACAGTTTGAACGCTCACAAAAATAATTTTTAGAAACCAATGCCCAATGTGTTTAGAAATAAATTATTTTTGGTACTTAAATCAGATAAATACTCACAAAATTTTGTTTTAGTAAAATAGTATAAAATACCATCAGAAATTGTAAAATTTTGTTGTGCTATTTTTCTTCACCATTTGTCTATATTACTATTGTTATTGCTAAATAACTCTGTATAAGTAACATGTTTTTTTGCAAATAATATGATACATATTTGATATAAATAAAATTATATGGTTCATAATTATTTCATTTTGTCTCAGTTAGGATTACTAAACTATAGAGTCATAAATTAAATATTCTTAAGTAACGAAATAATATATTTGAAATTAACTTTTTAGTGGTCGAACTCTTTTTATTGTGAAAAAGTTGTAAGATATTTGTCAACAAAGTTTGGTGATCATTTATCCAGTTTTGTTTTAGATTTTTATAAAGAGTCATATAATTTTTTGTAATTCTGGTAACAAAGAACTAGAAATTTTACCTTTATAAACTAAAAATGTAGAAAGGAGAACGTGTAAAACTTACCTCTACGATATTCATCGTTGATATTAGAGCAGGAGTAAACCAAAGCGTAGCTGGAATAATCAGTGGCCAAAATCCAGTAAGGACTGCTGATGGTGGCTAAAACGAAAAAAAAATAACATTGGAAAATCCAAAAAAGCTTATCTCGATGCCTCACGTTAGTAAGAAAGTATCTAATTGGTTCGTTTCAAAGGTCATCGACTTTCGATAACATCGTGCAAACATGAAATGAACAAAGATTACAGTAATGAATTTTAATAGGTATCATCCAAAGGACAATTAGAGATATTTGGTATGATAGCTTAGTTAAATAACAGCTTAAGTCATTTGTAGTCATGTTAACACATCTTGTTATGGCTACAGATTAACAGACGGAAGCTTTACGTAAAATTAATTTACGTGGTAGAGCAATGCTGCAGTGTAATAGGAATGGGTTGGCCTGACCGGGGAAGGAACACGCTCTCACAAAATATCAGCGTCAAATAGCGGCTCCACGCTGCTGTGTTTCGTATGGTGCGTGTAGAGAACCTGAGACCCAACGGAAACGAGGCATTCCATCTTAGTCCTCGGGTGACAAGATGGGAATGTAGATGTCTATGAGCCACAGCAACCAGTTACAATCTGGAGGATTGTGTGCTCGTTTATCACCCTTTTCCTATAAAAAAAAACTCAATCTAAGAATAAATTAACTATAGAAATTAAAACTACTGAACTACAGTTAGTAAAAACATGATTTAAAAAGATTTCTTAAATTTATTTGATAACTAGCAACTGGATAGAATCGTTAATCAATCGTTAATAAATTAATGTGATGTTATTTAAATTTAACATAATCAAAGATCATTTATTTATTTATAAGTTTTTCGTTTTTTTTTTTCAACAAAAACGGCTATATCGGACAAAGTTAGTTAGACAGCCAAACATTTTAAAAATGATAAATTATACCCTAGGGGATAATCCCCTGAACATTTACGTGGTAGAGCCACGCTGCAGCTATATTATTGTTGTAGCACGAATGGGTCGGCTCGACCGGAGCAGGACCACGGTCTTACAGCGTAAAATAGCAGATTAATGCTGCTGTGTTTCTTATGGTGAGTATAGTAAACAGAACACACATTTTACTGGAAATGAGGCATTCTATCTTAATCCTCAGGGTGACAACGCATCTGCATTTTGGTTCTTAATCGAGATTATATGTAGATGTCTATGGGCCGCAGCATCCACTTACCATCAGGTGGACTGTGTGCTCATTTGTCACCCTTACTATATAAAAAAACTTGATAAAAGTCAGTTATTTTAATAATACAGACAAATACTTCAATTTTAATTATATGTATAGATAAACGCGATATGAGGCTTGTCGACAGTAAAGCACATCAGATGCTTTCGCAGTCGAGGTGTATAAAGCAGTAAAGATTTTAGTCAATGGATTCTAATAAAGATATTAATAGTTACTTTGCAATCATCCGCTCAATTAAATGATGTGTCTCACCTAGTTTGAAGAGCTCTTCAAACTAGGTAAGACACATCATTTTAGTTAATTGAGCGGATGGTTGCAAAGTAACTATTAATATTTTTTATTGTAATGGATTTCCGCAAAGTAATGCCTGATTCTATCAATTATCACTGGATTCTGTTACGTCACCATGGTACGCCATAGTACGGTCATGGATTTTTGCATTTAAAAACAAGTAGTAGCAACGCTTTATAAAACAATTGAAAAAAAAAAACTATATATGTATATAACAAACCGTTAGTGCCGGCGATTGGGAAAGTGACAGTGAGTTTGGCAGAGCCATCATTAGAAGCAGGGACGGCAGTGGCCGTGATCGTATCCAACTGTTGGTCGACCACTTGCGTGTTCAATACCTCCACACCAGTCTGGGTGAGGGTATAAGTGGCAGTAGCGCAGGTACCAATTTGGAATTCTTGTGGATAGCTTTCGATGTCGTACCATACTCCCATGTACTGTAATAAAAAACGACAAGACATAAAGCTTCATTTAGGATACCATACGTCCCACAGCTGGGCAAAGACCTCTTCCAATTTCTAAGATGGCCTAATTGCTTTATATACCATAAATCAATTAGGCCATCATGCTAGTGTTACATATTGGTGCATTTCATCGTCACATCATTATTTTGTACGTGGTAAAGCCACGCTGCAGCTATAATAAGGTTGCAGCACAAATGAGTCGGCTAGACCAGAGTAGGACCACACTGCAGCTGCTATGTTTCGTACGAAGGACCGGATAGTCATTTACTGCAAACGAGATATACCATCTTAATCCTCGGGGGTGACAACGCATCTGCATTTTGATCCTTAATTGACAATAAATGAAGTGCCATAGCATCAACTTACCATCAGGTGGCCCGTGTGCTCATTTGTCGTCCTTATTCTATATAAAAATATTACCATTCATCATCATCATCATTACAGCCGATCACAACATATGCCTTCCCCAAGGAATGCCACAGAGTGATGTGGAATTTTGACTTTATACCTTCTTGATACGATATACTGGCATGTAGAATCGGGTATCCGGATTTATGGTTAATGAGGTACTCCATCTTAGTCATCTGGAGTTACCTAAAACGCATCCGCATACTGACGCATCGCAGCTAGTCCATGCACCATGCAATTCACACACTATCAGGTGAACTGTGCGTATTGTCACACTTACATCCATAAACACACACACACACACACACACACACACACACACACACACACACACACACACACACACACATAAATAAAAAGTAAATATAAAGTACCTCAGTGGCGTTAAAGTTCATAACGACCGGAATGCTTTCGTCACATAGACCTGGGAACACAACAGAAGTGCCCGGTACCGCCGTGGGGTAGTAGAAGCAGCCGTCGTCGGAGTGGTCAACATTTCGGTAATAACGTTGATTAAGGACGTTAGTATTACTCATAATGAGGTTTATATTCGTCACGGCTATATCGGACAACTGTCTTGTACGACTTAGTTTCCAGCTCCAAACTGAAATATTAAAGAAATACACGGAACTTTTAAGTGTTGCTACATTATTAAATTTATCGTTATGTATGACTTAGTATGTTTAGTCTTCCCACTAGCTTCTGTCTTTATGTTTATATACCCTTAACCGACGAATATGTATGTCAGGATCGTGCTAAATGTAAGTCTGTAGTCTCTGCCTACCCCTCTGGATGACAGGCGAGAGTGTTTATATTATATTATTATATATATGTTTATATAAGGTGTGGGGTGGGTTATTATATATATGTTTATATTGGGGGTCATTGTAGAAGCGTGCTCGTCGCGACCCCTGCCAGCCCTTTTCAGGGCTGCAATTCTACACAGCTGCGCACCCATGCAAACGAGGGTTAGGGCGTCCCCCCAAGGCGACGCACACCAGCTCGTCCCCGTTGGTGTGGAATGCAGCGCGCAAAGCGGCGATGGGGACCGCCACCCGTCACGCACAGCCCGACATGGCGGAAGATGGAGGACGGAGTGCAGAGTTGGCTCGTGGAATGTTAGAGGGGGCATGAGAGATAAGACGAATGAGTTGATCGAAATAATGAAAGAAAGAGAATTAGATGTCGTGTGTATGTCGGAGACCAAACGGAAAGGCAGTGGTACTGAAGAGCTCCCTGGCGGGACGTTAGCTATATGGTCCGGAGTCCCGGAAAGCGAGAACGCCTGCCAGGGAGTGGGAGTGCTGTTGTCGTCCCGGTTGGTCGATCTTATGACTGAATACAAGGTTGTGAACTCAAGACTTCTCTGGGTTCGCTTCAAAATGGGACTGACGAAGTTATTCCTTTTGGCTGTTTATGCGCCGGTAGCTTCGTCGTCCAGGGCTGAGCTGGAGGAGTTTTGGGAGAATGTAAGAGAAGTTCTAGATTTGGTTAAGGGAAACGAAAGAACTGTTGTATGTGGTGATTTGAATGGATGGGTAGGTATCGCTCGACCAGGATACGAGTCGGTGCTTGGAAAGTTTGGCGATAAAAGGGTTAATGATGCTGGCAAGCTTATACTGGCTGTATGCAAGGAAAAGGGTCTTCTTGTGACAAACACTATGTTTAATCACAGGAAAATCCATATGTACACTAGAGAAAGAAAGAATGAGAGAAGTATGATTGATTTGTTCCTGGTGGATGACCGACTCCGAAAACAGGTGATGGATACACGAGTGTTCAGGGGTGCTGACCTGGGAACGGATCATTATCTAGTAATTACTAGATTTAGGGGTTTGTTCGCGGGTTGGCGCTACCGGACGGCAGTAACAGAACCACAGTCGGTCTGTCGCATCCGAAGCTGGAAGCTTCAGGAAGCGGATACTAGGGACAAATATCACACGAGGGTAGCCGAAAAGCTTGACACCATCGATGGCAGGAAAGAATGTGTGGAGAGAACATGGCAGAACCTTAGGGATGGAATGGTAAGTGCAGCGGAAGAAGTATGTGGTACGACAAAAAGGGGTAGTAGTAAAAAAAGAGACGCATGGTGGAATGATGAAGTGAGAGAAGCTGTAAAAAAAGAAGAAAAAAGCATGGTTAGACTACTTGGCCTCTAGTAACGATGAGCATATGAGAGAGAAGATGAAAGAAAGATATAAGCTGCAGAAAGTTCATGCGAAAACATTGATTGAGGAAGTACGTGAAAGGTGTAGAATAGAAGCGGACGAGAGGTTGTCGCACAACTTTAGGGAAAACTCCAAACTCTTCTGGAAAGAGGTTGGAAGGTCCCGGAGTGGTGCGACAGCCTTAAGAATGAACAAAGTGCTTTCGAGAACCAATGACGTCCTCTCAGAAAAATCGGACGTCATGCAGCGATGGAGTGAATTTTATAGAGAAATGTATGCGTGTCATGATCTTAGTGAAGGATCCGGGGGTGACGCCGTGACTGGCACGCCAGACACGGACCTCGATGACATCAGCATGAAAGAGATTGAACGTGCGATTCGAAGTTTGAAATGTGGTAAGGCTGCGGGACTAGACAGAGTTACTGCTGAAATGGTCAAGTACGGTGGGCCTCGCGTCTGGGACAGCTTCCATCTGCTGTGCAATTTGTGCTGGCGGACGGGAGATGTCCCGGATGATTGGCGATTCGCGATCATTGTGCCTTTATATAAAGGTAAAGGTTCACATTTTGACTGCGGGTGCTATCGGGCGATCAGCTTGACTAGTTTAGCAAGTAAAGTTTACTCGAAGGTTTTGACACGTAGGATGCAAGAGAAATCGGAAAGATTCTTATGGGAGGCACAATGTGGATTTAGACCTGGAAGAGGATGCACGGATCAAATGTTTTCTCTCAGTATGATCACGGAGAAGCTTCTGAGTGTTAACCAGAAGATTTTCTGTGCTTTTGTGGATCTGGAGAAAGCATTTGATAAGGTTATAAGGAAGAAAATGTGGGAACTGTTGCCGGGATATTGTGTGGATGGTCGATTGTTAAGGGCTGTGCAGTCACTTTACTATGACTGTAAAGCCTGTGTGCGGGTAGGGCATGACCTGTCACCCATGTTTAGTGTTCAAGCGGGCGTAAAACAGGGTTGTGTCATGTCTTCCTGGCTGTTCATACTGTATCTCGACAGCTGTTTACAGAAGCTGAAAAATAGCTGTTTGGGTGTGAAATTGGGTGACATAAAAGTTAATTGTCTGCTGTATGCTGATGATGCAGTGCTTATTGCACCATCAGAAGCAGAACTGCAGGCATTAGTCACGTGTATGAAAGAGGAATGTGAAATTAAAGGTCTCCGTTTGAATGCTAATAAAACTAAGGTTCTGGTATTTGAAAAGGATGAAGAGAGAACTAAATGTGAAATATGGGTAAATCAGGAATGTCTAGAACAGGTAAATGAAATTGTATACTTGGGGTTTGCTTTCAGCCGGGATGGAAGATGTGATTTAGATGTGGATAGGCGTGTCGCTGCCGGAAACAAAGTCAATGGTGCCCTGAATGCATTAGTAAAAAGGCAAGGCGTGGTGAAGAGTGCACGCCTTGCAATACATAATGCAGTGTTGGTACCGACTTTGTTATATGGCAGCGAAACCTGGGTATGCCAGAAGAAGCATAAAAGCAAGTTGAATGCAGTGGAGATGCGATCTCTTCGTAAAATGTGTGGCGTTACCTTAGCCGACCGAAAGCGAAACGAAGAGATTCGCAATATGGCAGGATTGAAAGATGACCTTATCACAAAAATTGATAGGGGCGTACTCCAATGGTTTGGGCACGTTGAACGAATGAGTGAAGACCGAATGGTGAAGAAAATATATAGAGCGAAAGTAAATATTAAAAGGTGTCGAGGTAGACCGAGACTAACTTTCGAAGACCATGTGAGCAAATTGCTCGAAGAGGGGAGGGTCAAGAGTACTCGGATACCTAGACGTGCATGTATGAAGAAGTTAATGAACCTGAAGGAAGCGAAAGAGGTATGTAAGGATCGTGACACTTGGCGATCTGTTCTCTCTGGCGGTGGTAAGTAAGTAAGTATATAAGGGGTGAAGGATATGGAAAAGGATGGATTATGGAAAAGGAGTGCAGAAAACTAAAATTTATATATTAAATATGTGGGAACGCGAGTAACCCGGATTCGATCCCCGCCGGCACCAATGAAATTGTTAATTGCAATTTTAAGTGCTGATTTACTATGTGCTTGGCGGTGAAGGAAAACATCGTGAGAAAACCTGCATGTCTGAGGAACAAGAAAAATAAATATTTCGAAGACATGTGAAGTTCGCCAACACGTACTGGGGCAGCGCGGCGGACACTTCCTTGCCCTAAAACCCTCTCAGAAATGAGGGGAGGCCTGTGCCCAGCAGTGGGACATATATAGGCTGTAACTTAACTTTACTTTAAATGTGTAAAAAATATATTAAATAAATGTCAAACACATAAGAGTCTGTGGTCAAAAAGTCACACAGAGTAGAGATCTTCACCAATGAATTTCAAAATTTTGCCAATAAATAATTAGTACTTAATTTTGTGTGATTTCAAAATGTTTATTTTTCCATAGTACGTGTTGTGTATGCCAAAGCAGAAAAGTATGTGTCTATGTGCAGTTGAAAGCGAAATACAGTTTGGTTAATATATGAAATTTAAAGGTTTTATGAATTACGATCGAAATTTAATCACTAGGTAATTAGTATTTATTAGTTTGTCATCATAACTACAAAAATATTTTACGTGTGTTCATTAATTTTCAAGTTTTATTGATCGATGTTTTATTTTGAAGTAAAAATAAAGAAGACTGATTGAATTACCTCTCCGTGTTTCATTGTTTATATTGCGGCAGCTGTAAGCGAAAGCATATGTGTCATAGTCGGTGTCTAAAATCCAATATTCCATTTGTTCAGGTTCTGAAAATTAAATTATGGGATTTGCTCAAAATATTGATTTATTATCATTAAATTATTCATATCAAAAATATAAACAATTTTGTTGGCAGAATTTTTATAATAATTTAAGTCACTGTTTAAAATGCATTAAAATACTACACAATTTTATTTTATCATACAAAATTAAATTAAAATGCGAATTGAGATGGATGAAACACACATTTTTGAAATGAGTTACCAACAGTTGATCTAAATGGACTGTAGCGTGGTCCAAATTTCAAGTAACTCGAAGGCTTTCTCGAATTCCGCTTATCAGATGTAACGACAGATTAAACTATTTAGTTGTATAAGCTACCGTAGTCTCTGTATATATGTGGTTTATAGTATTAAAGCCTTTTAAAATATAATTCATGTTATCCAAAATATTTTTATTTAAAACTTACCACCGGGGACTGTAATCAGCAATTTTCCTGAATTGTCAGTTGTTGCTAGAGTAGCTGATCCAGTTATTGTAGATAGTGTTTGGTTTATAACTTCGGTATTGACTACTTCAATTGTTCCGTTGGTCTGTATTGTATTAGTAACTTGGTTACATGATCCTGATTCGAAGTTTGATGGATAACTTTCGATTTGACGCCAACGACCAGCAAACTAAAAGTTACAAATTATAATTATTCTATGAAGGCTACAGAATGCAGTTCTTATAAAAGTGGATAAATATTACTTTAAAATTAAAAATAAACCCATTAAAATCTCTTTGAGAATAAGGGTTAGATAATAAATCAAGAGTTATATAGCTGAGATGTACAAATATTAATATAGTAAAGCCAATCGAATATTTTAGACGTGTCTACGTTTTATTCGTATTATATTTTAAGATGATTATGGGTTCGAAACGAATACTATATTTATCAGCTAGGAAAGCTATAAATTCGTTCACAAAGATATTTTTTAAACTTTTATTTTTTAACAAAAGTAATGGCACCAAACGTCCTGACAGTAAAGATAAAATTTCTTACTCTGGTTAGGTTAAAGTTTTGCACTACTGTGATGTTGAGGTCGCACTGTCCAGGTAAATCAATTGGTTCACCGGGAGATATATCGGGTAGATAAAAGCATGCATTGTCAGACTGGTCAATGTTTTCATAGTACATATTGTCTAACACAGTAATATTAGCAATGGCATTATTGATTTCCGTGTTAGCGGCTGCTGATAGTTGTTTTGTTCTACTGAGCTTCCAGCTGTAGACTAAAAACCAAATTATTATTAGAATAACTATGTGCAAAGATAAAAAATTAAAAATCCTTAGTTTAATAGTAAATACTGACTAGCTCTGAAATCTTGGTCACGATTGACACAGCTGTACGCCAAAGCGTAGTTATTGTAATCTGTGCTTAGTATCCAAAATGGAATTTCAGTTGCTGAAACAAATAAAGCATTATAGATTATATTGGTGAAAATAGTTGTTTTCTATACAAAACTATATTTAAATTTACGTTTTAAAAATAAAACTTACCGTTTGCCCCTTCTCCCAATGTTATTAGTAATTTTCCACTAGAATCAGTAGAGGTTATACGAACAGTACCGTTGGAAATTCTTAAAGTCTCATCAAGCACATTGAAAGATTGTAGATTTAAAGTATCATTAGCGGAAAGGGTATATTGGTGATTAACACATTGACCGGTTTGCTGATCTTTAGGATAAGCTTGAATTTCGTGCCACGTTCCTTGAAACTGAATACAAAAATATAAATTCTCAAAATTGTCAGCATGCTTTGTTTGATATTAATATAATAATTTATGTATCAATGCATGGTCGTAATCACCTGGCTCATATTAAAGTTGGGAACTGCTTCAATACTGTCTTCACATTGTCCGGGAAAAAGAACAAGTTCTCCTGGTCGGGGTTCAGGGAAGTAAAAGCAACCTTCAGCACTTTGATCCACTGGTTGATAATAACGGTCATCCAATATTGGAATTGTCATTGTAACATTGTTTATAGCCGTAACTGCTGCAGCTGTTAGCTGTTTCGTTCTACTAAGTTTCCAGCTGCCAACTGTGAAAACAAATGGAATAAAATGTGGATATTTCATATTTGTATCTGATTTTTCTATTACATTACATAATCGTGCTTGTCGGGGAAGAAGGCATCGAGGTACAGAGCAGACTGACGGGGTGGCAACAGAGGCTGGAAAGTGTTGGCTTGAAGATCAGCAGATCCAAAACCGAATATCTGTGCTGTGATTTCGGCGGTCTTTCCAGTCCTGTACCCATGTCGTTGGATGGCGCTATACTGCCTACCTGCTCAGAATTCAAGTACCTCGGTTCCCTCATTCAAGGCGACGGCGGAATAGATAGAGCTGTGCAGCATAGGATTAACGCAGGGTGGGTGAAATGGCGACAGGTCACAGCCACAACGTGCGATCCCCGAATGCCAATAAGGCTGAAGGGGAAAATTTACAAATCGATCATCCGACCTGTCGTCATGTATGGAAGTGAATGCTGGGCCGTCAAGAAGAAGGATGAAAATAGACTGCATGCGAATGAAATGAGAATGTTACGATGGATGTGTGGTGTGACAAGGATGGATAAGATAAGGAATGAGTATATAAGAGGAAGCCTGAAAGTAGCGCCAGTGGTAGAAAAGGTGAGAGGAAGCAGATTGGCATGGTTTGGGCATGTGATGCGGAGGGATGAAAGTCATGTCACAAAACGAGTGTTGAATATGAATGTGGAGGGACACACGGGCAGAGGAAGGCCGAATAAAAGATGGATCGATTGTGTGAAGAGTGATATGAGAATGAAAGGAGTAAGTATGGAAATGACGGCTGATAGAGAGGAATGGAACAAGAAGATTTACTGCGCCGACCCCAGATAATGGGAAATGGTTTAGAGAATGATGATGATGTTACATAATATATTATGTATATACAATTTAATAAGTGATAACGTTGTCACCATACGCTTGCGGACCGAGAACACCTGTTCATTTAAGAAGAGAATATTATTTGCTATTTACACTACTAAAACTCACGTTAACCACGCCAATTAAGCTGAAAAAACTAAAAATAAAGTGTTACACGTGCCATCAACATTTTTAAACAAACTGCGTACATAATATACAACAAACTATGTATTTTACAGCAAAAGATCTCTCTTTTTCCACTGACGGTCAAAAATATGTTAAATATTATTAAGTTATATTTTCCAAAAGGAAAAACGAAAAAGTAATAGTTGAATATATATATATATATATATATTGAATTTTTGGCGTTACAAAACTCAATTAAATATGCTCGAGATCTGAGTATTATTTTCTTAAATTCTGTGATAGTTTTAAATGTATGGATTTCTACTATACCTGAATCAAAGAATCTTATTACAATTTACTATAAAATACCTAGGTGGATTGAAAAGTACTCGGCCTAACACAGATCCATTCAATTCTAAAAATCAAATCTACCCATATTATTTAGTTCAGTTCAGACTAGTTCATTGTGTGAAGTTCGAAACGTGTGCAATAATTAGTTGTGATTTTATAAATTTATTAACAAAGTAATCGGACATAATTTCCGCGGATGGAGCAAATCGAGCAGCGTGCCGTCATTAAGTACCTCCATAAGAAGGGGCTATCATCAAAAGCCATCCATGATGACATGGTCAGTACATTAGGCGATTGTGCTCTGTTATATTCATCCGTCAAAAAATGGATAGCAGAATTTAAGCGTGGTAGAGAGAGTGTGAAAGATGAACCCCGCTCTGGAAGGCCTTCGACGTCAACTACTGACGAAAATATTAAAAAAGTACTTGATTTAATAATGGGAGACCGCAGATTTAAAATTAGAGAGATAGCCGAGATTATAGGCATCTCTTATGAACGAACTCAAAACATCATTGTGAACGAGTTGTGTTTCCACAAGGTGTCTGCGAGGTGGGTTCCGCGACTGCTTTCAGTTGAACAAAAAAGGACGCGATTGACTATTTCACGCGACTGTTCGGAGTTATTTGAAGCCGATGCAGATGATTTTTTGAATCGTTTTGTTACTATGGACAAAACATGGGTTCATTACTGTACACCGGAAACAAAACAACAATCAAAACAGTGGAGAAGATCTGGTTCACCACCCCTAAAAAAGGCTAAGTCGATTTTGTCGGCAAATAATGTGATGGCTTCAGAATTCTGAGACTCGAAAGGTGTGATTATGATTGATTATCTTGAAAGAGGTCAGACTATAAACTCTGATTACTACTGCACCTTACTACGTCGTTTACGAGAGGAAATAAAAGAAAAACGTCGAGGAATGCTCAGAAGAAAAGTCCTGTTTCATCAAGATAACGCCCGTGTTCACACGTCAGTACAGTCAATGGCTGAAATTCACAACTGTGGCTTTGAACTGTTATCGCATCCGCCGTATTCACCTGATCTGGCACCATTAGACTTCTTTCTGTTCCCTAACGAGGTCCAAGATCAAAGAGTCAAGAGAGTCGAGGTCAAAGATTTTCGACAAACGACGAGGTCAAAGCAGCTGTAGACGCATATTTTGACTCTAAGGAAGAATCATTTTTTTTTTCAACGGTCTAAATGCTTGGAAGGGGAGGTGGCAAAAGTGTATTGAACTTGATGGTGATTATGTAGAAAAATAAAAATATAACTGATTTAGTATGTGTTTATTTTCTTGGTTAGGCCGAGTACTTTTCAATCCACCCTCGTAGTCGACTCCAAACATCTTTCATTGCAAGGCCGATAATCATTGGATATAATTATCTATCTACAAACATTGCGGTCAGATTCCTATATTAATTTTAAGTTTTGTTAAAAGTATTTTGTTCTTATTATATGCTCCATAAATAAAAAAGATAGTTATAAATAATATCACTAAAAATATTTATACCTTGTCTTGTTTCGTCATCCAGGTTTCTACACGAATAAACAAGCGCGTAAGATGTATAATCCGTGCTAAGTACCCAATAGTCTGTTGATGTAGTAACTGAAAAAAAAAACATTTTTTGTGAACCATCAAATACACCTGGGTAACCTAGAAAAAGTGTTGAGTTGAAGGCTATCTCAAAGTCACTATACGTGGTATGTTAGGGTTTTGAGTTGTTCATTACGAGTTTCCAAAAATCTGAGTACACTCAACTTAGTAAAGTGAAACAACACATTTGAGTGGCGCACCGCTGCATTATCCTGGATAATACAGCGGATCGATAGCTGAGAGCTGAACTAAAGTCGTTACTGTTGTATAAGTTGCTGTTGATAAAACGTAATAAATAAAAACAATTTTGCCGCATATTTGAAAAATCGTCAATTGAGAATGGCAGAAAAAAATTTGGTGAATTTTTTTTGTGTGTGTTTGAGTAGGTCCCTAGATAGTTTAAATTCAAAATTAGACCCAGTAGGTGGTGCTGTTCTTGAGATCTAGAAATCGCCAGTGTGAAATAAAAATCATCTATGTTTACCGTTACAGTTTACTAAATTCCACTGCTGAACTCATAACTCCCATATAGATTGCCTCATAGGGGGAATTTCGCCATAGTTGCCATGCTTGGCAAGCAGGTTGGCAACAGTAGTTTATTTTTAATTTTAGTCGTTATTAGGAAGACGCTGTTGCCTATCTCCTGATCTAATTCCTTATGTCGCCTCTTACAGCACTCACGGGATGATATGGGGTAGTGGATATTCTTACACCGCCACTGCACGGTAAGGGTTAACCACACATGAAATGTACTTACGGTTCGTTCCGGCGATTGGGAAGGTGACAACAATCTTGGCACTGTTCTCGGGATCACTTACGAGAGTAGCAACTCCATCAATAGTAGCCAAGCTTTGGTTTACTACTTGTGTGTTGTACACATCGACTACAGTGCCGTTCAAAGTGTAGTAAGCATTGCTACAGGTACCAAATTGGAATACATTTGGATATGATTCGATGTCGTGCCATAAGCCTAAATACTGAAATTTATTAAAAAAATATAGGTTTTTTTTTCTAGTAGATAAAGTAAGGTTGACAATTTCGGTTATTAGGTTATAAAGCTTTATTATTTAAGTTATTAGCTTGCCTATTAAAGTCAATTGCTGAACATATCCTTCCCCCACAGAGGGGATATTTGCCGTAGTGGCCACGCTTGGCAGGCGGGTTGACAACTGTAGTTTATTTTTATTTTTAGTCGTTATTAAGAAGACTCTGCTGCCCATCTTCTGTTTTGTTTCCCTCTGTCGGCTTTTACGATACCCACGGTATGATATGGGGTAGTGGATATTTTATACCGCCACTTAAGGCGATACCCCAACCAAAACCTGCGATAGTGCATTTTTAGAGACTATTATCTCATTAGTTATGAGAAATAAACTCCATCTAAAAGCAAATTATTAGTTTTCGATATCCTATCATCATATTCCATGCTCTAATTTGTTTTTATGTGTTATAAATAAATTTAAAATCAACTTTTAAAAAGTGACTAAAATTATTGATTACTTGCATCTGTTGCTAAAGGCAACGCTCTAATCATTTGAGGATTACACTAATATAGATATTGGATAGATAATTTAAAAATCTATATTATTCACGTTTTATTTAATTTCTTAAGTTCGCTTTTCTTTTTAATTGAGATACATTGTATATATGACCGAACGCTCAAGGTCGTTCGCTAGGCGTAACGCCTTATTGGTAAATACGTTATTAGTTTATTTGTCTGTTATTCTAACAAATGATACAAAATGTTAAGAAATCGCGTGATTAGTTTCAATAATAAAAGCAGGTCAAGCCAGTTAATATTTTTGGAAATTAATTATGAAGATCATTTACGAGAAGTTATAGGAGTTCTTGTGTAATTTTTTACGTAGATTAATATTTATAAGGTTTAACTTACCTGAGATAGTGAGAAATTCGTTACTACAGGAATATTGAGGTCACATTGGCCGCGGAATACAACAGGTGTGTTAGCTGTTGCGTTGGGGAAATAGAAGCAAGCGTCATCGGAATGGTCAATGTTAACATAATAGCGACTATTCAAAACGTTTATCCCATTGACGACTTGGTTAATGTTGTTTGTTGCATTGTCAGATAACTGTCTCGCTCGACTTAGCTTCCAGCTCCATACTGAAATAAACGATGTTGATATATTAATTGTTAAGTTGGTGTACACTGAATATGAACTTATTAGCTTAATTTGTTACCTCTTCGCTGTTGGTCATTTATGTTTTGGCAACTGTACACTAAGGCATAATTATCATAATCAGTATCTAAGATCCAGTAATCGGATGGTTGCGATGCTGAAAAGACAAAAATGAATAAATATATATAATGTGAAATCTTAATCAACTTAAGTATTAGTATATCAAGGTTTTTAAATTTAGATTAAATTGTATATCCTTCTTGTATTTTTTTGGGGAGTTTGTGAGCTTAGAGCTATAACTACTTCCTGTAAGTGGGATTTCGGTTACGAATTTTCGAGTTTTCTGAAAAAAGTAATTTCTATATGTTTGAATACCTATGTAGGTGTGCTGCGCACACACATACACGCATGTATACGTTGCAATATTGTATCTATATACTTAGTGAATAAGATTTTTCAGTTAGTCACTAGTTGCCCGCCAACTGTATTGCTCGTGCCTCTATAATAAATATTAGCAAAAGATTTCATCTTTTATTATGGTCACCAATAGGCACCCCTTGGAGTCAGCTCCTAAACTGGTGATCCCGACGTGATGAACGTGACCGGCGCGATGTTAATTCAAGTGGGAATATTCGCGTGGTTGTGATCGGACGGACAATTTATATAGTAACATGAGTGCGCCGTTTCCGCCAACGCCACAGAACGTGCCGCCTGTTAGCGTGCTCACTGTGTCTGACTCCAAGACCTGGACAACCTAGCAGCAGTCGCAGATAACGTCATGGAGGCTGTGCGGCCTTCCTATGCCGCCACCGCTACTTATGCCGTGCCAGTGCCAACATCTACGGCCGCCCTTGACTTGACCCTGTTGAGGGCTGAGGTGGTTAAAATAAAGGCTACCGTGGACCAGATCGATCAGCAGAGCTCGCGGTCTTGCGTCCCTGATCGCAACCGGCGTTGTTCGCAGTCCAGGCGCCGTAGCGGTTCCCGCCGCCCCGGAAGGAGAACTACTTATGCTTCTACCATTACCGGTTCCGAGAAAAGGCCAACAGGTGTACGAAACCTTGCGCGTGGAAACCAATACAGCCGGAAAACTGAGCGGCGACCGGCGAGGTACAGTCTGAGGATCTTCAGGTCTGTACCATTTTTCCATTCAATCGTTTGTGTGTGTCAGACAGTAACTCTGGGCTTAGATTTTTAGTCGACACCGGTGCTAATGTCTGTTTTACCAGCCTTGAGAAAGGATCTGTGCAAATAAGGTACGATATAAATTCTACGCAGCTAACGGTAGTGAAATCCAACTTACGGTACCAAGACACTAGTGTTAAACTTACGTCGACCTTATCGTTGGGAATTCGTTGTAGCAGATGTCAAACAACCAATTTCGGGCGCCGATTTTTTAGCGTACCACAAATTATTAGTTGATTTAAACGCGCGTAAATTAATAGATAAAACTATAGAATTGAATGTTTCGGCATCTGTTGTCAATGTATCTCAACCTAGTATTAAAACTATTGATTTAAATCATCCGTATCAGGATTTCCTGGTAAAGTACCCGGACATCACTACACCGGCGTCATTCCGAGAAACTGCGAAACACGATGTCGTCCACTATATCGAGATCTCTGGCCCGCCCGTGCATGCGAAAGTGCGCCCGTTGCCACATAACATGTATAAAAAAGTTAAAGGAGAATTTCGCATCATGCAGGAACTGGGCATCTGTCGTCTTCAAAGAGCGCGTGGGCTAGTCCACTCCATGTAGTTCCTAAAAAGAATGGAGATATATGACCTTGTGGGGACTATCGCCAGCTGAATGCGATAACAAAGCCCGACTGATACCCGATTCCTCGCTTGAGCGATTTTACTTTTATTCTTCCGGATAAAAATATATTTTCAAAATTAGACATCAATAGAAGTTATCATTTTATACCTGTCGCACCAGGTGACGTGGAGAAACCCGCTATTATAACACCATTCGGACTTTTCGAGTTTCCTTGAATGACCTTCGGTTTGCGTGGTGCAGCACAAACCTTCCAGCGCTTTATGAACTCCATTTTACATTTTGTTTTTTGTTATTTAGACGATTTACTTATAGCTAGTGACAACGAAGTTCAACACAGGCAACATTTAGAGATTATTTTTAAAAGGCTTAATAAATATGGAATTTCAATTAATTTGGCAAAATGTCGTTTCGGACAAACTACACTAAAATTTTTGGGACACGAAATTAGTACCGACGGCGTCAGGCCGTTGCAAGATAAGGTTCAGGCAATTGTGGAATTTTCGAAGCCAAAAACTGTTGCAGAGCTAAGACGTTTTCTCGGTATGGTCAATTTTTACCGAGCTCATCTTCCCAACGCTACTTTATATCTAACAGAATTAAATAAATATCTTAAAAGCTCAAATAAAAATGATAAGACTCCCATCGTCTGGACGGATAGTGCGAATGAAGCGTTTACGAATGCAAGGCACTCACACAGGCCGCTACATTGACGTACCCTAGAGTGGGTTCCGCACTTGCTATAATGACTGACGCGACGCGAAAAAGAAAGAGATAGCTGGAAACCATTGGGCTATTTCTCGAAAAAACTGACAACCACCCAACAGCGATATGTCGCTGCGTATGTATGATCGCGAGTTGCTCGCTATATACTTAGCTATAAAACATTTTCGTAAATTATTTGAAGGGCAAGAAATAACCGTGTATACGGACCATAAACCTTTAACTTTTACTTTTCAAAAGGTAGGACGCGATGAAAGCGAAACGCCTCTGAGAACGAGACATTTAGCTTTCATAAGTGAGTTCACTTCAAATATAAAATATATAACCGGTACGAATAACATCGTAGCTGACACCTTATCGCGCATCGAAGCCATGACTATACCAACTGCGTTGAATTTCGATGACATTGCAAATGAGCAGCGTAGCGATAGTTATATCATGAATGTTATGTCTGGTTTAAATTTAACGCTAATATTTTGTTAAAGGAACTAGTTATACCTATGTTAAATAAGTCAATTTTTTGTGGGATGTCTACTGATACAGCTCGTCCGTACCTACCAGAAAAATTTCGACGCCTAGCTTTTGATAGTTTACATAATTTGAGCCATTCTGGAATTTGTTCTACGCGAAAGATGTTAGCCAAAAAAGTATTTCTGGCCTAGTATGAATCGTGATGTTTCTTTGTGGGCAAAAACGTGCATACAATGTCAACGTTCTAAAGTAAACAGACATACGGTATCGAATCTGACTTAGTTTCCGGAAGTAGATCGTTTTGAGCATGTGCACATTGATATCGTTGGCCCTCTTGAGATCTCATCAGATGGATATAGATACTTACTCACGATAATTGATAGGAGGACCAGGTGGCCTGAAGCTTTTCCGTTACGCGACATTATGGCAGAAACTGTTGCCAAACATTTATATGAAGGTTGGATTTGTCGTTACGGTTGCCCGATAAAGTTAACTAGCGACCAAGGTTGCCATTTTGAGAGTAGTCTTTTTAACCAGCTGTTAAAAATGTTGGGGGTTAATAGAATTCGAAGCTCCTAAACCTATTCTGATAACAGGAACTACAGGATTTTGTTATACTATGTTGTATAGTGATTATGCTATGATATTAGCATTTGGACGCTGGACGATTACGAGAATATGTCGGAGAATTCTGTGTATACGGCCCAACTATTACAATATTATTGCAATTCAAAGATCATTGTTATTATGATTATAAAAGCTAAATTAAAAAAATGTATTTTGTTTAAATGTACTTAAGATCTTTTATATTGTAACACTGCCATCCGAATCTGAGCTATGTTCAAATTTTCAGGTCTTTTAGCTCATGGGACAGTAAGTTTAAAATCTATCACTAAATTCGACCAAAATACACATGACAGCAAGTAAATAAAAACGTGGAAAATATAATTTAATCGTTCTTGATGTACCATTTTACAGTCTAATTGAATTTTCAAAGTTATTACCTCCAGGGAACGTGACCAGTAACTTCGCACTTCCATCAGTCGTAGCCAATATTGCAGAGCCATTTATAGTTTCTAAATCTTGATCGACTACTTGAGTATTGTAGACTTCTACAGTTAGATCAGCTAGCAGTCTGTAGTTAGCTTCATTGCATGCTCCGGATTGAAAATCTGATGGGTAGCTTTCGATCATTCTCCATCTGCCCATGTACTAAAAATTAAAGATAGTTTATTAGTCATACATAATTTAAGTAAAGTTTTGAAATATATCTTCACTGTTGTTTTGGTTTAAGTATTAAACCGATATAATTATAGACTGTGAGACATTTTATTTTAGTTCGTTGTAGAGTTGCTTGTTACAATTGTTCATGGAAGGCAGAGTAGCGGTGTGCTTAGCGGTATTGCATTCTCTTGCCATCAGATAGACTGTTATTTTTAACATCCTGCTATGAAAATCAATGATTTTTCGAAAAATGGGGTGGTTATTATTTTCTATTATATATGTATGTTATATTGATGTGCGTGCGTGGGTGTGTGTGTGTGTGTGGTTGTGGGTGTGTGTGTGTGTGTGTGTGTGTGTGTGTGTGTGTGTGTGTGTGTGTGTGTGTGTGTGTGTGTGTGTGTGTGCGTGTGCGCGTGTGTGTGTGTGTGTAAACATGTAAGCATCTCATAGAATTTAGAACGAATTGTCACGGTTGAAAAAATCGAGTATTTTTATTGTTTATATAATTAGTTTTCTTGGAATTACTTCGACACCCTTGTTTTGACCAATTCTATAATCTAACCAGCTTTTTTACTCAAAAAACGACGTCGATTGCCGTGAACCGCATTAGAATCGGTTGGTTTGTTCGGGGATATCTTTGACGAAAGAAATCTTGAAGAAGTGTTTTTTCAAAACGAATTGAATGAAAAATTGAAAACTTTCTGTAAAATTTTTGTTGTAATAAGCTTTTTTGTTAAACCGAAAAAATTGCGTTGATAGCTGAAAATTACATTTGTTGCTTTTGCTTTGAAAATTGGTTGAATTGTTCGTGAAATATGCAATTTCGATAAAAATAAATAAATGTGATATTCAAAAACGTCATAATAAGTGCAATTTGGAGCGCTTTGATATAGAAATTAGCGGGAAGTTCCAGGGATGGCCTGCAGGATCAACCAATTTTTTATATTATTACCTATTTTAATGTTATAAAACATAACTCATGCGTATTATATTTCATCATCTGTTTATTTATAGAAAAAAAAATTACCCTGACTGGATCAAAATTTTGCACGACGCTAATATTAGGATCGCAATTTCCGATAAACACAACTGGTTCACCGGTCGGAATATCAGGTAAATAGAAACAAGCCTCTTCTGATTGATCAATATTTTCATAGTACATATCGTCCAATACTGTGATGTTTTGAATAACATTGTTGATAGTCGTATTAGCGGCTGCGGAGAGCTGTTTTGTTCTACTGAGTTTCCAACTGTAAACTGGTAAAAATTGAATTATGATTATGTAGTTCTGTATGGCAGTACCTACTTGACCTCATGTCATTAATACCACTTACCTGCTCTAAAATCCGATCCACGATTTACACAACTGTATGCTAAAGCGTAGTCATTGTAATCTGTACTTAAGATCCAGAAAGGAATTTCGATTTCTGAAACCGAAAATGTAACAATTATACATATAAGTATAAAAATATTTTTTTAATAAAACTTTAATTTCTTGTTTGCAATGATGAATTGATACCCGGTAGGTTTTCCCGTCACGGTTCTTTGAACGAAGTCATCCGAAAGGTTCTTGTCACTATAAATGTTCACTCGGTTTTAGAGCCTTGCGGGATACGTAAAAATGATGGCAAGAGACCCGATGGTATGACTTTGGTCTCCTACCAGATGTAAAGCCCTAGCGTAGGATGCTACTTGCGTAGACACCTTGGCGGCCTCTCTGATGGCATCAGATGCAGCTGAATTAAGTTAATGGCGCAAATATGAGTCTTTGAGAAATTACTACATATTTTTGCCATTTGCTATAGAGACTATCGGTCCGTGGGGTCCATGTGCAGTGAAGTTCCTAAAGGAACTATATCCGCGACTGGTCGTCGCTGCTGGTGATAAGAAGGCTAGTTCTTTTCTCGAAGGCCAAGTATAGCTATTTAGCGAAGAAACGCAGCCAGCGTTCTTGGCACGATTCCACGGGGAGCAGGATTTTATGAAAATTAAAATTTCTAGTATTAGTTTTTCTTTATTAAAGTGTTTTTTAAATATTGTGCGTCAACAATTTTAAGTTAAAAATTCCATTTATTTGAGGTTAAAATGTATCATGACATTTCCTTAAATCAGAATCATAATTTTTGGCGGTTATGACTTGGAATTTAAGAATTCCAAAATCTGTATTACAGCCAATCCTTCTCAGTTAGTTTTTATTTTTAGTAATCACTTTACAAAGTTCTATACGCTGATGCCTTAGCTGCTGATACCGCAAGCATTCTTTAGGAAAATCTTAATACGTGGACACACGCTCTTGAAAAGTACGGCCTGAGGGTGAGTAGGAGTAAAACTGAGTATTTGAATGATGCTGGGCCTCCTCCAGCATAACAATTAGTTAGGCATTAGGCAACAGCAATTTATAATTTTGAGTTTGATAAAGGAAGATGATACTGCCCTTCTCCTGTTTCAGTTTCCCCTATGTCGTCTGCCTCTTACGATATCTACGGGATTCTATGTGGTGTAGTGGATATTCTTACACCGCCACTACATGATGTCTTCCCAAAAATTGGAGGCTTTTAACTGCGTAAGAAATATTGTAGTGCCTCGTATGACGAGTCTTCCTAACTTAATTGTGTAACGTTGACACGATAAAATCGGAGTCAGAATAGTATCACACACAGATAATTACAATGTACTCAGACCCGAAAACGAACAATTCCTGTTTTTGCATAAATGTTGCCTCCATATCTGATATACATACGTGATACTTATATATTTGCCAAATCATCTTCTGATTTTTTATGACACATATGGATGGGTTGTGGTGATGGTTACACCAATGCTAGTACCACACGATGAGTAAATAAAATATTATCATTTTTTAATTTATTACAACCAATCAATAATCCTCACACAGGGTGGCCCCCTACTAGACGGAGTGACGATTTGGTAAAAGATATGCAGGAAATCCATGGATGCAGGTTGTTCAGCACTGTAATTTATGGTATTCCATAGGGGACGCCTATGTTCAGCAGTGGACTTGTGAAGGGCTGTAATGATGATGAATCGAAAATCAACTGCTGTATATGGTCTATGTTTGTCCCATAGATTAGGCCTCACCTGTATGTAGTCCATATAGTATATAATACAATAATATTAAAAATTATTTAAGCAGGGGTATTTTTTATAGCGTAGCAAAATCTCAAACTTAAGTTCAAATATAGTGCTATTTTTTCAAAGAGTAGCCAGATTTAAAATTAAATTCAAATATACAAACCGTTATTGCAGTTTTTGAAAATACGAGTAAAAAAGGCTTCTAAATTTTTTTTTGAAATTAACCCATTTAATGTGAATTATGGGCAACACCGTTTTTGCCAGCTGATTGACCCTTACGAATGTGTGCGTGCGCAGTAAAATCAGTTAAAATAATGCATTACCATGCATTTTGAATTTAAAAGATAAAAAGGACAGAATGTTTAAGATTTCTTTTAAATTAATTTTTCTTTAACATTTATACTTATTCTGAACCTTCTCTACAAATGTGGCCGGTTATTTAAAAATAAGCATGTATAACGAGTTTGATAAGCACTTACGTTGATTGTCCTGGGTAAATGTGATCAATAATCTTCCACTGGAATCTGTAGAGTTGATAGTCACTACGCTATCGGAAATTCTCAACGTGTCATTGAGGACATTGAACGTTTGCAGATTGAGTGCGTTAGAACTGTTCGAATATTGATGATAAACGCATTGACCTGATTGCTGGTCTTTCGGATACGCTTGAATTTCGTACCATGTGCCTTGGAACTGGAAAAGATACGCAAGTTTAAGATACAGTTAATGAGCAATTTTGTTTAGAATACGGTTACAAAATTTTTAAAAAAATTATAAAATACTTATTTTAGTAGTTTTTAACCTTTACTATTGATTATTAAAAAACCTCTGTTCTGGGAAGAAACAAGAATACAAGCAGAACTATAATCTGTGACTAAATAACACAAGCCCTTCGTAGGTGCTTTTGTTTCGTAGTAGTACTCAGTGGTAAAAGGACCTGACGGCTGTAGTGGAGAATCTGTTTTTGAATACCAGTTCGGGCCAACGTTAGAGTACAACCCGGGTTCTTGCCTTTTCAATCCTCGGCCAAACGCAATCTTCTATGTGGCCGAAAACATCAAGAGAATTTGTATTTTATACAAAAACAAATTCCGTTTTAACATAATTTTCATATGTATCGATCAGAGATGTTACTTCTTTTTTCTCGGAATAAAACATAAATTACTTAGATACAACTAAAATTTTGCTTAATATTTACCTGATTCAAGCTAAAGTTTGAAACCGCTTGAATTGAATCGTCACATAGACCAGGAAATACGACCGGAACATTAGGCGCAGGTTCAGGGTAGTAAAAGCAACCTGTGGTACTTTGATCCTGTGTTTTAAAGTAGCGTTGATCCAAAACGGTTATGTTATTGACAATCGAGTCAATGGCAGTTACGGCCTGTTGCGTCAGTTCCTTGGTTCTGCTTAGTTTCCAGCTGTACACTGTAATACAATAAAACAAAGCGCATTATATTTTTTTGATTATTAACTTGAATTTTTATATTAGGATTAAAATAATAATATTGTACCTTGTCTGTGCTCATCATCAATATTTCTACAACTGTATACCAAAGCATATGAAGTATAATCCGTTGCTAGCACCCAATAGTCGGTCGATATGGTTACTAAAAAAAGAAAACAAAAATTAATATTTTTAATATTAAGAGTTCTAAAAGTTATGCAAACAATATACAGGTACAACATATAAATTATTACAAAAATAAAGACGACGACTGCTTCGATCTTGTATATACATATTGTGTATATATACTACTGACAAATACATTATACACATTAGAAATGTTTTATTATTAATACCTTTCATATGATACCTTACACGATAAAGTATTTTTTTTAATTCGCAAAAGTTTGTCAATTCATGCCATATTTGACAGTATAATTTATCGTGTTTACCTAAAAGTCCGTGATATACATTCCATTTTCATAAAATGGAATGACGAGCGAACTAACCTGATGCTAAGTGGCTACCGCAACCCATGGACATAATAGGTAAGATGGTTATACCTACCTAGATGGACTGTTCAGAAAAGGAGTCCAAGCACCTAAGTGGTACACGGAGCGCTGGCGAGCATGCAAAGTACTGGCATTATGTACCGTATATCATAATATCATCTGTACTCGTATCTTTTTAGAAATTGGGAAACCAGTCACACGCCTGTGAGGCATGGCAAAAGCAAAAGTATGAAATCATACTCGTAACAGGGACGTGCGAGTTGAAGATCACAAAATTAGTAAATTAATTAATTGTATAGGTGAATTGTGATATAATTTGTCAAATTCAGTTCAAATGACAGCCAAGAAGTTACGTACAGAGATGAAAGGTGATGATTCTTTTTGAAATCGGCGACTGTTCAGTCGGGAAAACCTCTCATTTTGTGTTCTGTTGTTGTCGAGTAAAAGCTATTTCGTTATTTTACCAATTAACTGGTATTAGAAGTTGACATAGACAAAGTGAAGTTGAGAGTCATCAAAATGTATTTTTTATTATATTTCTTATCCAGGTTTCTTTATGACATTTTAACACTGCTTTACGTTGGTAGCCTGGGTATAATTTTACATTAGACTTATTACACAAGTAAATAAATCACTGAGATGACATTGGCAGTATTCTTTTTAGAGTAGCCCAAGAATAAGAAGAAGACAGTAAACCACCATCTATAGGTTTTGCGGTCTATCTTTTTCTCTCTCTCTCTCTCTCACTTCAACATGCCTAATTGTCTCTTCTCTTCCTTACGATACTCACGGAATGGGAAACCGGGTAGGTAACGTCTTTTAAGCCTCCACCACACGGAAATTAAATTGTTAATCAAAACTGACATGTATCGTTAGATTTTATTTTTGAGCTTAAATACTATAAAATAATACTATTAAAATAATCAGATTAAACTTACGATTAGTTCCAGCAACTGGGAAGGTAACAGTAAGTTTTGCACTTGCGTCATTTGATTCCTGTAAAGTGGCACTTCCTCTAATGGTATCTAGTCTTTCGTTTATTACTTGCGTATTATACACATCAACCCCGTCGCCTACGATTTCGTAGAATGCATTGGAGCATGTTCCTTCTTGGAATGGATTTGGATAAGATTCTATGTCATGCCACAAATTCATGTACTGTAAAAATTATAACTGATTACAACACGTTAAAGTAAACAAATTATGCGTGTATATGCGATGCGAATAACTATTTTAGCTGCCTGTTAATTTTACTTGTATTCAAGTTCTGTTTTGAATTACTGATCTTGAATTATAGTGATGTAGTAGAACACACGCTAAATAGATAGATTTGTAATATTAAATCCTGATAAACCAAATATTCTTACATTCTGTTCATAACAACATACAAAGAAAACAGTACTTTGAAAGTAAATACATTGTCATTTCATTTCATTGCTGAACATAGGCCTCCCCCTAGATTGCTTCATACGCGAGATTTAAATGGCAGGCGGGATGACAGTCGCATTACTTTATTATTTGATTGGTTATCATTGGGTGCGTTTGGCAGAAAAAAGCGCTAGCAAACGCTTGTAAGCAAAATAGCGATCGTAAGCGGTAAGCGCTGTCAAATCGTAAGTAGCTATTTTCCTCTAGGACACGATGTTAGTTTTTACCGGGGGAACCTAACCTAATTTAAATATATGTTTGTAAAGTATTCATATTAAAAACTTACCAATCGTGAATTTTTAATAACATGTATATGTTTATACACGTTATTATATTATTAAAAACTAATATTGCACAAAACAACTTATAAACTCTACTTCAAAACAAACAAATTAAATAAGCAAATTGGCGGGTGGTGTCAGCGCTACTGAAGTAGCAACCGTGTCCTGGCCGAAAACTATTTTAGCGCTTGTAAGCGCTTGCTAGCGCTTTTTTCTGCCAAACACACCCATTAAGATGATGCTGCGTATCTCTTGTTACAGTTTCCCTCTATCTCTTATCATGACATCCACGGGACGAAACGGAGTAGCACATATTCTTACACTAACACTACTCAGTTGAAAGTAAATACATTTATTGTATTTAATCCATATAGATTATGGTGTACGAGTATTTGCTTTAGTCGTCACGCATGTAACAATTTACTTATTGTAGGAAGACGCGGTCGTTACAAAATAATATTTTCACGAATACAATTAACTTTTATACTTAGTAATGCCACGCTACAGCTATATTACTGTTGTAGCACGGATAGGTCGGCTCGACCGGGAATGGACCACGCTCTCACAGAATACCAGCACAAAATAGCAGCTGTGTTTCGTATGGCGAGTGTAGAGATCCGGAGACCCTTTTTTACTGGAAACGAGGCATTCCATCTTAGTCCTAAGGGGTGACAAAGCATCTGTATTCTTATTCGAGGATAAATGTAGATGTCTATGGGCCACAGCATCCACTTACCATTAGGTGGATTTTGTGCTCGCTAGTCGCCCTTATTCTATTAAAAAAACTAAATTGGAATTATTTTTTTAGACAATTTTACACATAAGTTGAAGCAATTGAAAATTAGTGGTAGAGCTATGTTAATAATGCTATTATCGAGCTATGTTAATATAGCTATTATTGTGATTGCAAGCATGAATAGAATATAATAGAATTTTTATTTTATATACATCACAAGAATACTTATTAAAAGTCATTTAAGTTTTACAGTGGTTCGGAATAAAACCTCCGTCCTGGGAAAAACTAGCAACCATGGTTCGGCTCGACAGGGGAAGGACCATGCTCTCCTGAATATCAGCGTATAAAAGCAGCTTAATGATGCTGTATTACCCTAGACCCCTTTTATTGGTAACGAGGTATTTCATCTTAGTCCTCAGTGGTGACATCGCACCTGCATTTTGATTCCTTATCGATGATAGATGTAGACGTCTATGGCTACAGCATCCACTTACCATCACGTAGGCTGTGTGCTTGTTTGTCACCCGTATTTCTATTAGAAATAACGATTTATTATCTCTGTAATGTAGTTGTCGATGAGAAAACGTGACAACGTAACTTAATACACATCTCGTGTGGGCTCCTACATTACATTATAACTTAATAAATAGGAACGTTTGCCTTTACCTGTTGTACATCAAAACCAGTTACAACACTTATGTCCGTATCACACTGTCCTCTGAATGTGACAATGTTGCCATCTGACTCTGGATAATAGAAGCAGCCGTCATCGGATTGATCAATGATTTCGTAAAAGCGGTTGTTGAGGACATCGACATTGTTAATGACTTCGTTGATGTTGTTTATAGCGGTTGGTGACAAGTCTCTAGAACGACTAAGCTTCCAGCTTAAAACTGTGGAAAGAATAGTATTTTTAAAATAAGGTCCCAAGTTTCATAATATTTAAGTTTAAGAACTTACTTTATCTTTTCTTATGAGTCCGTTTAAATCTAAGGAGTCTCTCTTATTCAATGGAGGCTTTGTTATAATTGCCACGCTTGACAGATAGATTGACAGCTGCAGTACTAGACTAGACGTACTGCCAGACGACGTGCCTGTCGCTCACTGTCGCTGGACTGACTGGTTGAACAAAGGCATTCTTTTTCTTTCCATTTTCCACAAAGATTCTACACGAAATCATAACATTTATGTGTCATATGATAATACCAGTCAAAGGAGTTGATTCAATGTTGACAATGTTTCAGTGTTTGAAGAGCCGTGGTAGCTCAGATGGTTAACGCTCGCTGTAAATATAACAGAACGCGAGTAACCCGGGTTCGATCCACGCCGGCACCAATGAAATGCAATTTTAAGTGCTGATTTACTACGTGCTCGGCGGTGATGGAAAACATCGTGAGGAAACCTGCGTGTCTGAGGAATATGAAAAAAATATTTCGAAGACAGACAAAGAGAAATGTGAAGTTTGCAAACACGCATTGGGGCAGCGCGGCGGACACTTCCTTGCCCTAAACCCTCTCAGAAATGAGGGGAGGCCTGTGCCCAGCAGTGGGACGTATATAGGCCGTAACTTTACTTTAATTTTCATGTTTCAGCATTCTACAGTCATGAAAAGTACAAAACTGTTATAATTCCTATATTATTATATTGCTATTATAATAAAAAGTCACCTTTACATTTAAATTTATCAAGTTATACTCGAATACATTGAAAATATTGTAAATGCTATTATTGCATGCCTTAAGCGTAAAGCGCGTAGGTATGTTCTAATAGCGCCAACGTTTTTTTGCATGTAATCGTGCCTAACAACCATATTTAACATAATATATGATATAAAAAGCACATTGTCAAAAAGATTGTGGAACCTTTTTTTATTTTAATCGACTAATTGCTATTTTTACATTAAAAAAGTGTTTCTAGTGGCTTATGGTATAGATTTATGAAGTCCGCATGGAGGGTTAAAAACGAAAACTTTTGTAAATATCAGTTGTTCAACTCAACCTATTTTTTTAAGCCATTCATCTATCATGTGGGAAGCCATGGAGTGTAACTGGTTGTTTAATTTTGTTTTGTTTAGTTGCAAATAATTTTTTTCGGCTGAGAAATTCCGAAATTTTTGGTACTTGAGCAGACTTGTAATAAATTATTTTACTAAATAGCTAAATAGATGGGCTCGGCCGCCGTCGTGAGTGGATTACTGTATCGTTTGTTTTACAGCGGCTCGTGCTGAAAAGTATCGATCACTGTAGAAATACAAAGTATTCCAAAAACCAAATTTGATACATACTTAATCAAGGTAAAATATTTCATTATTATTTTTATAATCACATGCTTTCATTACAATATAAATATATTGTCTCGCTAAAAGTACGTAGGATTTATATATAAATATACTTATACGTCTTGGACTTTATGGAGTGACTTGAAGGTTTGGTTTCACATCATGTATTTGGAATATTTTTTTTCATTCCTCAGACATGCAGGTTTCCTCACGATATTTTCCATCACCTCCGAGCACATGGTAAATCAGCATTTAAAATTCCAATTAACAATTTCATTGGTGCCGGCGGGGATCAAACCCGGGTTACCCGCGTTCTGTTATATTTACAGCGAGCGTTAACCATCTGAGCTACCATGGCTCCACAGTTTTACGATAATACCTGACCATAAATACCAAAAATTTAAGTAATATTAAAGTTGATTTCTGTTAGCTTTAAGATAATTCTCTAAAAAGTTCTTTCAATTAACAATAATAAAAAAAAATGAATCTCAATAATAATAACACAGTAGAATTAAAAAAATATATTTTCTATTGTTAATTGAGAAGTTTTCTACATTTTTTCACGATCACATAAGCATCATGAGTATACGTGAGCATACGTGCACTTTTGGATTTTCCAAACTTTTTTATTTACGTTTGAACTTAATTGAATATAGTAATAAGGTTATTTGTGAAAACTTGTGTCTATTTAAAATACTTAAAAAAATTGACGTATAACAGCAGACTTCTATCAGTTATTTGTAGGCCGTACAAAATTATTGTTCCGTGCGGGATTCAAACCCGCGGCTCTCCAGCGCCGCGACTAAACGCTTAACTTGACTCAAGGTTCGTGATAATCAACGCATTTTTGGAAACAACTATTGGGGACTTAAAAGGACTGTTGATGTGCAGTGTGAGTTGGAAGTTGTTAAAAAATCTAAAAATATGCATTACGTTTTACGTGAAACTTATTACTTAATGAGTTCAGAATACAGATTTTGAGCATACAATACCTCTTTGCTGTTGGGCGTCGATGTTACTACAGCTATAGACCAGTGCGTAAGATTCATAATCGGTATCCAACACCCAGTAGTCCAGTGTTGTTGCATCTGAAATTAATTTGCCCCGTCAATAGAAGTGCTTATTCTTAAAAAAAGATGAGGTTTTCAGTTAGACAGTGTTTTTATTGGTTGCTTGCTACATGATATCTTCGCTAAAGTTGTTAAGAAGATTAAAATTCATTTTTCTTGTGGCAGATGATCTATCATATCATTTTATGAATATAATTTTAAAGAGAATTGAATGTAAATTTCAGGATAACTTGTTATTTTTCAAAGGTCTTTCATACTTGGAAATACTCTGAAAAAAGAACCTTTGGATTATTATTTTGACTAGTTTGTAGGTTGGATAATCTCTGCATAACATGATCCAATTGTGAATCGTTTTGTTTTTTTTTTCTGCATTATAATTCTCTAGGGTAATACCATGTAACTTTGAAGTAAAAAGTCTAACCCTGAGGATTCACATTTTACAATGTGTGAGATGTTGAGATATCAAGTGCTCTTGAAAGTTCAATTGCAAGGGTGTAATAATAGTAGGTACTTTACGAAAGTGTAAATCGTTTTACTTCTGAAGCTATTAAATTGTGTAGAAATTTTTAAGTTTCTATAAAATTTTGAAGTCAGTTTTAAAATTTGAGTTATAATAGTAGCAAACAATAACGTCTGTTTAAAAATAATGTGAGAATATAATCACGATTTACATAAAAATAAATTTTAGGACATATGAGATTATTTAATCTATTTTTGTCTTTTAAAAATGTACTGTAATTTCTCATTTGGTAAAAGTATTGAAAGAAAAATATAATTTACACGAACGGACTGTAATGTTCTTATCAAATGCTATTTATGGTTCATAAAAGATAGCTTGATGGTTCTATATGGTTCATAAAAGATAGCATGCCGACCTAATTAGTGCATGCCCATAAAGTATGACATTGACAGGTACTGTCTGTACTACTAAGAAATTCAGGACTTCATAGGCGTAATTTTTACTGACAGCTGTCGCAGAGATCAAGCTATCTTTTATGAACTATAGTTTCAACCGAGTCTTAAAAAAGATAATGTTATATATTCGACATGTATGTTTTTATATACATTCACCGATTTCACGGAATTTACACAGCAGGAAAGATTAAATTGTTTATATATAATAATACTATATATATATTTTTTTTTTTTTTATATATATATTAGGAGTGGTAAAAAAAATTGACCCCTATAGGTGGAAAGGTGGAAGAACAGGGGACGAAATTTCATTAAAATTTTCATATGACGATATTATAATTGTTTCCAACTTGTGATATTCTTTAGTTCATTCAAAAGAGTATAATTAAACAAAAAAAAATCCATATAGTAACTTATGAGGTCAGTTTTAATTCTTCGTTACATTATGTTTTAGTAGTGACTGCTGAAACTATTATGTGAAAATGATTTTTGTTTTATTTTTGAAGCCAATTTTTTTAAACCTTTATTATTCCTTAACAAAACATAGCTTCACTTACTTTCTGGGAAAATTACTTGTAATTTCCCACTTCCGTCAGTGGATGTTACAATAGCGGTTCCATTTAATGTATCCAGTTCTTGATTGATCACTTGCGTGTTAAAGACTTCAACGACATTATTATTCAAACTGAACGTAGCATCATTGCAAGTTCCTGTTTGAGATTCCAGAGGATAACTTTCTATAAGACGCCATCGGCCTGCATACTGTAAATATAAAGAAAAAATTATTTTCAAAAAAAAAAAAAGCTTAATAGCCAGCATCCTTAGAAAATTTTTGCTCTTAAGACTACTAAGGAACATAATTTTTACTTTTGCGTTGATATATACACCAAACAGCTTAAATTTTGAAATGAAATATAATGTGGAAATTAGTGTACTACACAACACTTCAGATTTCGCAAGTCGAGAACTGAACAAAGATTTTTCTTATAGATTGCCTTGCGTAATTAATAGATAATCATTTCATAAAATGGGCAGAGGAAGGGCGTCGCTATATATCACACTTACCATTATGAAACTGCTACTCAAGAACCTTTCTTTATCATGCCTTTTGTTCTTTAACTTTATTATATAGCCGGTTTATTATCGCTGAGGTTACGATCCATTTACCTATGTCTATTACCATTGTTATTCTGTAGATATGTATTTTTTACGAATTTTATAATATAAGGAAACCTTCGAGAATAGTCCTCCCTATAAGCTTGCTAAGTGACTGTGAGCTTTCTTATACGATCAGTGGTGAAGGACCATGTGATTGTAACTTCAATTTGACACAATTTAACAATATTATAACAATTCATATTGCATTATTTCGTTTACCTACTTTTATCATAGCAGAGTTTAGGGCAACCACCTACTTACTATCATAGCAGAGTTTAGGGCAACTAGACTTTATAGATAAGATTGGTCGAATCGGTTCTAAAACTGAATTAGCACACCCCGACTCCTCGTAGTCTTGTTTGCCCCACCCTTAGAGTGTTTTTGTAAAACCGAGGGCACGAAGGGAGAGCAGCTCCCGCCCGCTGTAGCAAATCGCAGGCACCTAAGTGAGCCGTAGCGGCTGAGGCTGAGCATAGGAGGGGCTTCCCATGATTCCCTCCCCTCTCCTCCCTCGCAACACCGTACGGCCGTTGCAGAAGTAACTTTGTGTCAATACTCCTGTATAAAAAAGTGAGGTTATAATTTTACAAAAAAAGTTATTACTCATAAAATATACATTTCCGCAACGGGGGAAGGGTAGGGAGGGGCTTCCCATAACCCCCCTCCCTCCCTCCTCCCCCAGCACCGACGCACGCCATAATTTACCCCAAGTTGCAAACACATATGCGTTACACTTCTGGGCCTGTGCCCTTCATCTTATTTAGACGTTTTAGAGCAAGGAAGTGTCCACCGTGCTGCTCCAATACGTGTTCAAGGACTTCACATTTCTTCAAAATAATTTATTTTAATTTCTTAGACATGCAGGTTTCCTCACAATCTTTTCCTTTATCACCGAGCACATGGTAAGTCAGCATTTAAAATTGCAACTTACAACTTTACTGGTGCCAGCGGCGATCAAACTCGGGCTGCTCGAATACAGTAAAATTTATAGCGAGCTCTTACTCTGAGCTACCACAGCGCTATCCTAGAAGAAATTGATAAAGTAAAATTCTTACCCTTGTTAAGTTAAAGTTTTGAACAACTGGAATAGCAAGATTGCATTGTCCTTCCAAAATAACTGGTTCTCCAGGTGCTAGGTCCGGTAAGTAGAAGCAAGCGCGATCCGATTGATCGATGTCTTCATAATACTCGTCGCGAAGTACTACGGTGTTATTAATTATATTGTTGATAGTCGTATTCGCTGCTGATGACAATTGTTTCGTTCTGCTCAGTTTCCAGCTGAAAACTAATAAAATGCGGGTAGTTGTAAGTTGTAATGGTACTAATACACAAATTTTTAAATTTAGAAACGACTAATTTTAAATTATAACAATTTTTTAATAATAATATTTTTTATACCGAATACGAGAGGCGAAACACATGTCGTATTATCGTCAATGGTGTGTCTTTCCTAGTGTTGTGGTGTTGGGAGTAGTGGTGCTGGGATTTGTGGTGACAGGATACGCAATTGAGGGAGGGCGAAGGTACTCTTCAAACTAGATATGACACAACATTTTATTTTATTGAGTGGATGTGGGCGAGGTAACTCTTACCAGATTTAGTAAATTTTGTCTCTAGCACAGTGGAATTACATTTCGAATGTAAATAAATATTTTTACGCAAAGTAACTTTCATATAAAAATTATTATGTGATTTAAAATTAAACGTATTAAATAAGTGACAAGATTACAATTATAGTTACCCTTTCTAAAATCAGATCCTTGGTTGATACAACTGTATGCTAAGGCGTAATTGTTGTAGTCCGTGCTTAGAATCCAGAATGGTATTGTTATCTCTGAAATATTTTTTATTTTGTTTGAGATTAAAAATCAAATGGAAATAGGCAGCTCTTATTAAGAAACATAAACAACATAGTTACAAAAAAAAAGACAAAATAAAAAGTTTAAATAACCGTCCCACCTTTCCTTAGACCTTTTCGGTCTAAGAAAAAGTGGGACGGGCCAAAATGTAAGGATGGGTTATTAGGATTTATCATGAATGACCCAAATATACAGAGAATATGAAAAAGGATACATGAGATAATTTATTTTGTGTATCGTAGCTGTATAAATTGTAGGGTAAATATAATAATGAAGCTGAAGACTGAGCTAAACGCTGCATTTTGGGAGAGGACTATATCTAGCAGTGGATTGTCGCAGGCCTTTATGCTGCAGTGCTTGTGAGTAGGCACATGCCATCAAGGATTTGTAAATTTCTCAGACGTTTAGATTTTCACCGGATTTCTCAATCACCGATCACCTGGCCAACAAGCACTTAAAATTGCGATTGATAATTTCATTATTGCTGTGAGAATTAAACTCGAGTCGATGGCGTACTAATACATTTAAGAGAGAGTACTCAATCCCTGCTCTACAATAAAAAATAATTGTTCACGTTAAATTAAAACTATAATGAAAATAAAATGTTTACATATTTACCTCCATTGCTAGATGTTATTGTTATATACATTTTTGCGCTAGTATCTGTAGAATTGAAAGACAAAACGCCATTGGTGATCCCAAGGAATTGGTCGGTGATACTAGAAGATGTCAAGTTTAATGTATTGCCTGCTCCAGATGTGTAATTGTGGGAGATGCATTGTCCCGTTTCTTGTTCTTTAGGATACGCTTGGATTTCATACCATATCCCTTGGAACTGTTGAAATATGATGATACAAAATTTTTACTTTAATATTTATTTACGTCAGAATTATATTTTAGACAGTTTTATTACAATAACTATTTACCTGTTCCAAGGTGAAATTTGCAACAACTTCTATGTTTTCGTCACACTCTCCAGGGAAAACAACCGGCACGCCTGGTTGTGGTTCAGGGTAATAAAAACAGCCTTCTGTGCTTTGATCCGTTGTAACGAAGTATCTTTGATCTAGGACTGGTATAGTGTTCATAATCGCGTTGATGGCTGTGTTGCCAGCAGCTGGCATTTGCTTTGTTCTACTAAGTTTCCAGCCATACACTTAAAAAGAAGAATAAAGTTGAATCAAGCATTTATATAAAAATGGAAATTATATGGTGAGTGTAGAGAACCGGAGACCCTTTTTACTGGAAAAGAGACATTCCATCTTAGTACTCACGGGTGACAACGCATCAGCATTTTGATTCGTAATCGAGGATAGATGTAGATGTCTATGGGCCACAGCAACCACTTACAATCAGGTGGGCTGTGTGCTCGTTTGTCACCCTGTCCTATATAAAAAAAGAATTTATTACCCATTTTCTTTTGTAGATGTCGTAAGAGACCATGGCGGTTTTAATATTTTGTGAAGTCAAACGTTAAATCTCCCTGACCGGCGACCTTGAGCAACATTGAAGTAGACGTTCAACTGTGGCGGTTATGAATGATCCTCTGTGACTAGTATAATAATATATATTATTGCTATTTGTCTACAGTTCTTAAACTTTCTTTTGATTTTTGTTTTTCGTTGCACTGCTTCCTGTGTGTGCATATCTCTGCTTAACCATTACGGTTATCTGGGAGATTTATCGGTATTTCTTTAGTAATCTGCCGCACGAATATATGTTCGCCGAGTGGACGAGTAGAGGAGGGGGGAGAGGTGGGTACCTTCTCTTAAAAGGGAAAAGTGCCGCAAACCCCCCCCCCTTTTTTTTGATTTTTTTAGTAATCTGCTAAAAATCAGTGTGGGTTTCCGGCACTTCCTCCTTTTAGGGAAGGTTGGTCACCTGATTTTTAAATTAATGGATATAACCTCAATATTTTAACTATCGATATGCTCGAAAACTAAAGATTTCCGGCATAAAAAGCAGCTAGATGGTAATCAATAGCACCTGCCTGTCAACTAAAGCTAAAATGATCACTTCACACACACACACACATAATATATATATATATATATATATATATATATATATATATAAATGGATTTAATGAAGAAATAGCAATATAAATAAAATTTACCTTGACTGTCCTCTTCATTAATGTTTATACAGGTATACACAAACGAGTAACTGACGTAGTCGGTATCCAAAACCCAGTAGTCAGTTGTTACGTTAACTGTGAAAGAGTTTCAATTGAATAAAAGTTAACAACTTTCCCAGGTTTATCGAAATAGTTGATATTACTCACGATCAGTGCCGGCAATGGGAAATGTGACTTCGAGTTTGGCACTTCCGTCGGTGGATACTGGAACTGCTACTCCGTTGATAGTGTCCAAACTTTGGTTTATTACTTGGGTATTATAAACAAGAACTGGACCATCAGTCAGTGTATAGAAAGCATTGTTACAGGTGCCTTGTTGAAATATTGATGGATAAGACTCTATGTCATGCCACAGACCCATATACTAAAAAATAAAAACGACAAAATTATAAAGTACCTACATAAATAAAAAAACAAAGAATCTAAAAGCATAGTATAAGTATAAAATATCTGACTGGAATAAAAATATATTGTGGATATAAATAGAGGCATTTGAACATTTGTTTATTATTGTTCTTAATGCAATTTTTTAAAGTTAATGTCCGCCATATTTATTTAATGCTGAAATCATATCCCTTTAAAGTAAAAACATACATAGACACTAAGAATAAAAACTAAGGCAAGTTATTGTTTTGAGCATTACCCGCACAATTATGACTAATTGAAATGAATTATTGCAGATTATTGCATAATACTTCTTGAAAGTTTTTTTTCTATTTACCACTGGTTCGAAAAAAAAAGACCTCTATCATGGGAAGACCAAGCAAGAAACCCTGCGGGACATTTTTTTAAAACATAACATATTTCACTTTACAATAATTTATTTTGTACAATTTATGAATTAATTTTTATAGAACTATGCTGGGTGGCGATCTCCTCATTCCCAGGGGTTATTTTCATTTATGTGTTCTTTGATATTATAAAACCCCTTTTTGTACAATTTTTCTTTAATAAAACTTATAACTTGTTTAATAACAAATTTTATATATTTTCTGGGATTTTGTTGTAAAAGTGTATACATTTTAAATGAATTACTAATTCCGTGGAGTCCAGTAACTGGTATTACAAGCTTATGTTTGTTAATAAAATCCGTAAAAACTAGTATTATTTCATTATGTTTGTTCCTAGTATTCAAAGTATGAACATCTTTTTTCTTATGAAAGCTATTTATATTTTTATGTACATGTATTACATTTTCATAAATATATTGTGATACCAAAGTTAATATGTTTATTTCTAATTTTCTCTACCTAAGAGACCCTCTCTTTACAATTTAAGTTATAAATCGCCCGTACGGCTCTCTTTTGCAAAACAAATACGACTTCAATGTCAGTATTTATTTCATGTATATATTTAATGTCAGCATTAACCCATAGTACGATTCCATTAGACATTGCGCTTCTGAAAGTAACTAAAATAAACTAATCTAGCTGTCTCAACATTGCCGATTCACTTGTCGGTATCTAACTCCTAGTTTAGGAGCTATGAGCGAAAATAGAATCGCATATACATGCATACATGCACATACCAGTCAAAAATATTACTTTTCTTTAAGTGCAAAAGTTATTGCAATTAAAAAACAGCTTTAGTGCTTTAGATACGAATAAGAATATTAGCATTATAATATAACAAGTCTTAGGAGTGTTCGAAGAGTATTTACAGTATATTTCTAGTATATATGTACATTTGTGCACGCAGTTGTCGGTGATATGTTTTTTTATATTATTTTAATAATACTAGGTTTCAAAATTGTGCAGATTAAAGAAAGGACTTGATTATATGTGATAGTGTTGTATTCTTGATTGTTAATAATGACGTGATACTAACTCTTTCAGGATCAAAGGCAGGCATAGCGGGTATGGTCATGTCACATCGACTACGGAAGACCACTGGTTGATCCGGCGCTGGATCGGGGAAGAAGAAACATGCTTCGTCCGTTTGATTAGTTTCCGTGTAGAAGCGTTCATTTAAGTCGATTTCAGAGTTAATTAATTCATTGACAGCAACTTGTGAAGTAGCTGATAGCTGTCTAGATCTACTGAGTATCCAACTGTATACTGAAATAATGTTTAAGAATTATTATTTTTAAGTTTATAAACATCTAGTAGATGAAAATAATTTGGGAAATCTATGGCAATAGTATCATAGGAGATGCAAGATCCAGTCACTCGTCAACATATATATGAATGTTGACATTTTTGTGATGATTATTTAGTTGCAAATTTTCATAAATATGAAGTTTGGATCATGATTAGTAGAAAATTTTATGAATATGAAAATAAAAATGCAATGAACAATTATATTATTGTCATTTAAGTAAATAACAGATTTTATATAGAAAAATATTTAGCGTATAGCAATAGAAAAAAACTGGTATCATTACAACACGGGGATAATCATACACGTCTATTTATTCACCATCAATTTACTTACCTTGTCTTTGATTGTCAGCGAGATTTACGCAGGTATATGATATAGCATAGTTATCGTAATCAGTTCCCAATATCCAAAGTTCGGAATCTGAGAAAACTGTAAGAAAATTGTGATAAGATTTAAATCAATAACATAAAACTTCTCCTAATGTAATGGTTGCGTATTGTACTTGCTGAAGTAGGCTATGGCTTTTATATTATTTTATATTATTTTATAGTATTTTAGTTTATTACATCAATATTTTAGTCTTAAGTAACTATGTATGTATGTATATTTGTAAATTTTCATCATGTCAATATTATCTTAAGCAAGTAAGATTCTATTTAATAAAAAATAATTTATATCTTTCACCTAAATCTATTTCGAGAAAAAATTTCTAGTCTAATCGAATGTAAATATCAATCAAATCATATTCTGTTTAATTAAGAAATTAACTAAATTAAAAAAATGGCAAATATTTACTAGTAATAATTGAAAATTTTCCTAGTTTACATTCTAGTAGAAATTAAGTAAAATAAGTTGCTATTATAACTTGTTGGTTAAGTTAATAAAGAAAAAAAAAGATGGCTTGTTGACGAATTATGAAAGAAGTCTCATAAAATGGAAACATATTTCATTGCTGCGTAATAAATTTACAAGCGACAGCAAGAAAGTAGAATAGGAATAAATAAAATTAGAATTTTAAACTAGTAATTATTATATATTTATTCTTACTAAAATTTATGATAATTATAGTAAGAATACTAGATCATAGACTATATATTGTCTATGGTCCTTACCGCGTCTACAAAATTTCAGAATCCAGTATCACTAGTTTTTCAATAATAAAATTGTTTTCCGATTGTTCATGGTTCAGATAATTGTAGACGCTTATTGAAATACTTATTTCAATTCTTAAAATTATTTATTTAAAAAAATTACAAAAGACTTATATTATTGCAGAATCCCTGGATAACGTTGGGCACTATACCAAACGACCTCCGTAGTATCTCCTAACTACTTAAGATGAATATGAACTGGACAAAGGCCACATCCTTTACATCACACATTTTAGGGCCGGCAACGCACCTGCAATTCCCCTGGTGTTGCAGTTGATCATGGGCGGCGGTAGTCACTTAACAGCAGGTGAGCCGCATGCTCGTTTGCCCCCTCTTCAATTAAAAAATCCATTTTATACTAAAATCGGTAGTTATTGGAAATAGTACGCACATACTTGTTAAAAAAAATAAATGTCTAATATAAATTATTTACTTAGCTAGTGATGTTAGTTTGGAATATCTTTGTGTGATAAAATCCAAGACGAGGATATACACAGAAGAAAAAGAGAAAATGACAAAACCTACGCATGAGATGGCTGAAGTGGCATTGGGCCGGCTGTAGAACTAGCTAACTAACTAACTAGCTCGTAGAACCGACAACGGAGAGGGAAAAAATTGTGTTTGGCGACCCTCCACTAGATAGAGTGACAACCTGATAAAACATGCAAGCAGTTGATAGAAGCAGGGGGGTTCAGAAAGGTTCTTTCATCTATGGGGTAGGTTCAGCAGTGGACACAGTGACGAGCTGTATTATTATATTAAAATTATTAATTACTTACTATGTAATAAGTAATTAATAATTTTAATTATAAAAAGGTTATAAGTGATTTAAATAAAATCATTCTAAAATTTGTCGATATTACAATTATCAGTGTTAAATGCATTTTTCCTGAACATAATCTGATGTAGCCGAAACTGTGCGGTGATATTATCTTATAAGAACTTATGATAAAAAACCATATGTCTTTATCAGTTAAATGCTATTTTATTTTTTGAGGTGGTAACGTTCATTGTATAAGAATATAGAAGAATGTAGAAGAAAATTTTCATTTATAATATTTGTTTTCTTATATTATAAACTAAATATTATAAACATCAATTAGTGTCACATTGAGTTCAAAACCGACGTTGAAGGGTTTTTTTCAATAATTGTGACAAAGGAGCACATATACCACAAGATGGTATATGAGTGCTTTGATCCATATTCATCCATATCCATCATCGTTTAAAAATCAAAACGCGGTTGCATTGTAACCCCTGATGACAAAGATGTAATGCCTCGTTATAAGTAAAAAGGGTGTCCTGATTTTAGTTTTCATTTGCAATATTCTGCTGTTTTATGATTGTATTCTGTGAGAGCTTGATCCCAACTCTGTCGAGCTGACATATTCGTGCTGCATCTAAATAAAGTTGCAGTGTGGCTCTAAAACGTAAAAAAGTCGCATTAAAGACATCAGTATAAATAAAATGGGTTCATATAATAAATTTATATCTAATTTTTGTTTGGCACGTATTAATTTATTATTTACTAGGTACAGTGCAGTATCAGTGACGATATGATAAAAATGTTGTCGATTACAACCAAAAAATAAATATTTGCGGCACGACTCACGATAATCGATGTCTATTAGTTTATATAACCGATAATAATCAATGATTTTATGTAGGGCTAGCATTTGAAGTTAATTACAAAATTAAAATTAAAAAATAATCATATAAACGAGGTTAGGTTTTTTAAACTAAAATAAAACTCTAACTAAACACCTGACGATGAATGGTTGCTACAGTCCATGGATGCCTGCAATCAACTTCAATTAAATTGTAGATGTGGTGTCGTCTTAAGAGCTGAGATGTCTGAACTGATGGACTTAAATGTCTCAAAACCTGTTTATTCTGGTTCACTAAACCGGCTCCGGACCAGAACAGAGTAGTGAACGCACCGCTATTTTGCGGCAGGAATAGGAAAAAGTTGAGTCCCAGATACCTAGTAATTTTTTTGTTACATTGTAATGCATTTCAACCTTTGAAAGTATAAGAACATCGTCAAATGCATCATTATATTATCATCAATCGCGGAATGCCATGAAGCGCGGTTCGGGGTCACCTGCATTCACATTCTGCTTCTCTTACCAGGTTGTCACTCCGTTGTCGTTCTTTGAGCTATATTGCCGGCCCACGGTAACTTCAGTTGTATACAAGATCATAATTATAAAACAAAATTTCATTGATATAGAATTGTAAGTTGTTATTTCGTGGTATTAAAAACAGATTAAAGAAAATAAAATAACGATAACCTCTGTTGCTAAGGATGATTACGGTATCTAATTATAATTATTTAATTTAAACCGTAACTACTTTACCATACGGTACAATTTTCTGTATTCCGATGTAATAATAATAATTGATTTTTATTAGGATAACTAGAATATATTAGTCAGCAATTATTAATTTCAAACGTGTGATAAAGGCCTCTGAGGCGTTGTCCTAATTGGCAACGATCTTACGAGCAACGATGCGATTTCGTCACTCGACGAGATTAAACACACAATTCTTTAGAGTACCCTAATTGAAGCTTGAAACTGATCGCGAGGGCACAAAAAATGCTTAATAATGATCGTGATCGTGCAATCAAAGCTACAAAACATAAATATCAATAAAATAAAATAAAGACATAAAAATACATAAATAAATAAAAACCCAACCAGATGGAAGCCCTCGGTAGGGGAGACCAAACGGCCCAAGGTTAGGGAAAAAGGAAAGAAACCGGCGGATGATGCGGGCGGTATTGAGGAGCACCGCATTCTGCATTTGAGTTTGGAGCGGTCCGTCACGAAGTCCCAGTCGCCACAGATGACCCGAGAGACTGACTGGGATTAATCCTTTTGCGGAGATGACTACAGGTATAGTTTCGGTCGACAGTCCACCCCACATGTCGGTCACCTCGTGAGCCAGGTTCAGATATTTTGTTCGTTTATCTGTTTCGGCTTTCACGAGGTTCTCGTCATACAGAATGGTAATGTCGACCAAAAATTTCCTTGACGGTGCCCGGTCCACCAGCACAACTTCAGCCTTATTCGCAAGAATAGTCCTGTCTGTGGTGATGTCTCGGTTCCGGTAGAACCTGGAGCGATCATTTTCAAGCACGGCTTCCGGTAAGTGCTTGTAATATGGCAATTACCGGTCCACAAAACTGTATTTCAGAGCGAGCTCCTGGTGAAGAATTCTGGCTACTAGGTTGTGCCAGTGCAAGTACTTAGAGTTAGAAGGCGCCGAACAACCAGAGATGACATGCCTAAGTGACTCACTGGGATGGCAACAAGCTCGACAGATGTCAACGGTGCCATCCTTTAGGATGTGTCTCTGATAGCTGTTGGTCTTAATAACCTGATCCTCTATTACGCAGACAAAACCCTTGGTTTCCCCGAAGAGGTCACCAAAGCGTAGCCAGTAGATGGTGGCTACTGTGTCTATGAAAGGCTCATGGAGAGCTTTGTAAAACATTCCGTGGATCTCCTTCTCCTTCCATATGGTGTCCTGCTTGGCAATGCTATGTACTGCCGGATTCTGCCATTGCTCGTTAGCTAAGGATAGAGGTGTAAGTCCTTTTCACAAAAAATGACATTCCTATAGAATGGATCATGCGATCTCGCCAGGAAGTAATTACGGAGCCTGTACACTTCACGAAGTGATGCATGTTGAGCGCGCTTATAAAGCCGCACCCACCATGCTTTCGTGGCAAGTACAGCCTCACTACCGACGTCATGGCAATGCGGATTTTTCTATCCAGGACGTTAAGTTCCTTCAACTTCTCCCCTTTCACCTTAAAATACGCCCGCATTGCGTTGGTATTTATTTTGATTATCCATCGCATGCGGCGTACTCTATCAGTGGCGGGTGTCGATTACTGGGCCTGCGAAGACCCTCTCGACACCAAGTAAACTTGTGGGGATGATGGATGCGAGCGGCTGCTGGGTGGCCGTGCAGTACCTCGCGTGGCGCGCGGCACCACCAGCCTGGTGGTTCGCACATTGTCGCATCCAGTGCCAGCTCCATACGCACCCTGGCAACCTGCAGGCAGCGGCCCTTTGCGCGTTCTATTAAATTCCATCACCCATTATTATGGCGTCAATTAACGGGAGATGCCCAGGCTCGAAACCGTTTCATGGTGCAGCCTCTTGAAAAGGCGGGCTTTTGCACCTTCAATTTATGCCGAGGCATGGCACTAACACCTATTGGCAAGGTGATGACTGACTGCGCTGACGTATCAGTTTTGTTTCTGTAACTGTTACGTCAGCGGGAGGTGGGGTTGTCACTTCCCTACGCCTTATTATTATTATTTCTAACGTAAGAGAACCTTTTTTAACGATTTTTATATGATTTGTTTTAAGCTTGATATACATTATACACATATTTATGTATGTATGAATTTGATGGAATTTCATGATTCCGTTTTCACTCATTCTAGACGCCTGTGAAATCTGAAAATTTGCAGTCGTATTAAGAACCGATAACAATACAAAGATTTTATGAAAATGACTTTGTATTCTCATTGGGATTACTACGTATCATGATCAATACATTTAAGTTTATTTAAACTTTTATATTATTTATTATAAACACATGATAAGATTATTCGGAACAATGTCAAGTTCTAGTATTTTGGCCTGTGTTGGTGAGTCGTTTAGTTAGTCGGATAAGAAGAATCTGTCTAACTAAACTTTTGCGTATGTATTTATGCAGATATTATTTAATGCAGATATCGTTAAAATAAAGTTTGTAAAAAGACCAATATTTTTCATAATGTTGATATGCGAAATTCCTTCAGGCGTTCAGTTTTAATTTAAAAAAAATCATCATCATCACATCCCATCAAAGGCCGGTACTGAACATAAGCCTCACCATTGATTGCCTCATAAAAGTGATGTTTGCCATATTTGCCACGCATGGCAGACGTGTGGGCAGCCGCAGTTTTTTTATTTTTCAGTTGTTATTAGAAAGACGCTGCTGCTCATCTCTTTCCGTATGTCACCTTTTACGACACCCACGGGACGATTTTAATCATGTATTTCTATCTATTTCTTTTAATTTAAAGTTGCTTCTGCGCAATTTACCTTTATGACGTTTAAAACTAACGTTGAAAAAAAAAAACAATATTGCATTCAATCCAAGTGTTCATGAAAGTCGTTTTAAATATAAAGAAAGGACGATATTATTTCCTGCAGTGTCCATCAAGTGACATTCTAAAAGCAATTGATTATTCTAAGTAGATATAACATACCATTTGGTGCGACTTCTAAAGTAACGGTCAGTCTTGCAGAGCCGTCCGTACTTGTGACAACAGCTTTCCCGCTAATCGTTTCCAATGTTTGGTTGACAACTTGGCTATTAAGCACAGTTACCTCTCCATTTACTAATGTGTACTGAGCTCTGTTACAGGTACCCGCTTGATTGGTAGTATAGTACCTTGCGATTTCATGCCATACTCCTTGAAACTAGAACAAGAAATTTTAAATTGGATCGATAATTTAAATATAACTTTTGACAATTCTTAGCGTAAATAAGGACAATGTAAAATTAAAATAAAGTAACCGAACCGCGTACATGTGTCCAACAGCTGGATGCATGCTTTGCCTTAATTTTGAATGGGACTTAGAGTAACGAAACGAGCCCACCCTGCTGTCCTCATGCGTGTTTTCTTTATTGCCAAAAGTGTTATAAAGTTTTAATTTATAAAATGGGAGTAACAAACGAGCGCACAGTCCACCTGATGGTAAGTGGATGCTGCGGCCCATAGTTATCTACATTTATCTTTGATTAAGAATCAAAATATAGATGCGTTGCCACCCCTGAGGACTATGATGGAATGCCTAGTTTCCAGTAAAAAAGGTCTCCAGTTCTCTACACTCACCATATGAAACATAGCTGTATTAAGCTGTTATTTTACGCTGGTATTCCATGAGAGCGTGGTCCTTCAACGGTGGAGTTGACCCATTCATGGTACAACTATAATATAGCTGCAGCGAGGCTCTACCACGTAAATATAGTGGTAAATCAATACTAGGCTAGTTCGGTTATTATGAAATATTACGGTCCGTGCTTACCCCTGAACTGCTACGGCCGCGTGTCTAATGTATAAAGGTTTCCCATTTTCTTAACTTACCCTCTCTGCATTAAAGTTGGTAACTACTGTCATATTTGGGTTACACTGTCCAGAGAGAATGACAGACTCATTTTCACCTATTTCTGGTAGTATATAACAGGCGTTGTCGGAATGCTCAATCCTTCTCAAATCAGACGAATTTATACCGAGCAGTGAGTTCATAGTTGTGTTCACGAGTGCTTCCATCATCTCTGTGGGATACGTCGTTGCTCTTCCCAACTGCCATAGGTACACTGCAAGGAAAACATTTTATATATACGATATTAATCCCTGTTACATTTAAACTGCCGTCAGTCGCGTTATAAATGCAAATACTACTCCATAATAATAATATAACACTCCATACAAAGGGACTGGCATGACAGTCAAAGCCTTATGAACGCACGGTCAGTTCAACTGATCATTCCAACTGATCAGTTCAAACTAAAACTGTTAATATTTTTTAATATATGAAATATCGATAATTATAAATATATCAATATCGGAATTTTATATATTAGTTTATTTATCGATATATCGAAAATCCAATATTTTAAACAATATCAACAGTTTTAGTTTGAATTGATCAGTTGTAATGATCAGTTGAACTGACCGTGTGTGGCAACCATTATCATCATCATCATCATCATTACAGCCCTTCACAAGTCCACTGCTGAACATAGGCCTCCCTCAAGTAATGCCACAAAGCACGGTCCTGAGCCACCTGCATCCATCGACTTCCTGCATGTCTTACCAGGTCGTCACTCCATCTAGTGGGGGGTCGCCCTACACTACGCCTACCGGTACGAGGCTGCCACTCGAGAACCTTTCTTCCCCATCGGTTATCGGTTCTTCGAGCTATATGGCCGGCCCATTGCCACTTCAGCTTACTAATCCGTTGGGCTATGTCGGTCACTCTGGTTTTACTGCGGATATCCTCATTTCTGAGTCTATCACGCAGAGAAACTCCGAGCATAGCCCTCTCCATAGCTCGCTGAGCGACCTTGAGCGTCCTCATACGGCCAGCGGTGAAGGACCACGTCTCAGATCCGTAAGTCATCACTGGCAACACGCACTGGTTATACACTTTAGTTTTCAGAGATTGAGGTATACCTGACGAGAAGATGTGTCGTAATTTCCCGAACGCTGCCCAGCCGAGTTGAATCCGTCGATTGACCTCTCGGTCGAAGTTGGACTTACCTAGTCGGACTATTTGTCCCAGGTAAACGTACTCGTCAACAACTTCGAGCATAGTGCTCCCAACAACTACCGGCATAGGTGTGACATGGACATTAAACATGATCTTTGTTTTGTCCATGTTCATCTTAAGACCATCCGTTGGGAGACACCATTGAGGTCATTGAGCATAGTGCTAAGGTCCTCCAGCGATTCTGCCATAAGGACTATATCGTCGGCAAATCGAAGGTGAGTGATGTACTCGCCATTGATGTTAATACCGTATCCTTTCCAGTCCAGTAGCTTGAAAACGTCTTCCAACGCAGCGGTGAAGAGTTTCGGGGATATAACATCACCCTGTCTTACACCTCTCTGCAGTTGGATAGGTTTCGTACTCTGGTTCTGTACTCGGATAGCCATCGTATCCCTACTGTACAAACACTTCAGCACTTCAATATATCGACAGTCAACTAGGCACCGCTGAAGGGACTGTAGCACCGCCCAAATTTCGACGGAATCAAAGGCTTTCTCATAGTCCACATACGCCAGGCAAAGTGACAGATTGTACTTACTCTTCGGACTTCTGTACAATTTGCCGAAGGGTATGTATGTGGTCTATGGTACTGAAGCCTTTTCGGAAACCGGCTTGTTTGGGAGGCTGGAAGTCGTCGAGTCTGCATGCGAGACGATTCGTAATGACTCTCGATAACAGCACGTAGACGCGGCTCAGAAGGGAAAACGGTCTGTAGTTCTTCAAGAGAGCGTTGTTGCCTTTCTTAAAGAACAAGACCACTGCGCTTCTGCTCCACGCCTCTGGAGTAGTGCCACCATGGAGGACGGAATTGAAGAGCTTCTGAATGACTTCAAGTACCGGTGTTCCACCCGCTTTCAGAAGCTCCGCTGTAATTCCATCCTCGCCCGGGGTATTGCCGTTTTTAAGGTGGTAGAGAGCCATTCTAATCTCGCTCAGACTGACGTCCGGGATATCATCGGAATAGTGTCGGATAAGATTTGCTCTTGGATCGTTACTCACACTTGCGTGTGGCTCCAACGATGATGTGTACAGCTGCCCATAGAACCTCTCAATCTCACTCAGAATCTCAGGTGTCCCGGAAACGATGTTGCCACACTCAGTCTTCAGCCTTGACAGTTAGCTCTTTCTGGCAGACAGATCTCTGGCAAAGACTTTGGAGCCCTGGTTCCGCTCGATCGCTTCTTTAATACGAGCAGTATTAAAGTTGCGTAAGTCTCGCCGCATGCATTTGGAGATCTGTCTGTTGACGATTGCAGCCTCATCTCCCGTCTAACAGCCATGAGATTAAGAGTGTGATCGGAGAATTTTTGTGTTCTTCTGCGGCGGGTCTTGCAGAACTTAGCTCCGACCGCATGGACAGTTTCCACGAGCTTGTCATTCATATCGTCCACTGCATTGCAATCCTCTAGGCACTGAAAGCGGTTTTGTAACTCGAGCTGAAAGGTTTCGGGATTCTGGATTAGAGCACGGGGGGGACGGAGCGTTGACTTCATTAGACGAGACCTCTCCAACTTAACATTTAGTTTCAGTGTGCCTCTAACCATTCGGTGATCGCTGCCAGTTTTCACCCTTGCGATCACTGAGACATCACTGAACAGTTGGCGTCTGGTAGTCATAATGAAGTCAATCTCATTTTTTTTTCGAACCGTCGGGGCTCGACCAGGTCCACTTCCTGTGGGGCCGCTTCTGGAAGAAAGAGTTCATCATAAAGAGTCCCTCTTTTTCCATAAAGTCGGCCAGATGCTGGCCCCTTCGGTTCCGTTGCCCTACTCCAAATTTCCCCACCTTTAGCTCACCGCTTTCTCTTGTGCCTAGTTTTGCGTTGAAGTCTCCCATCAACACCGTGTAGTGTAGTGTAGTTGGAGGAATGCATGGCTCTGGAAATATCCTCATACATTTCCTCCACCTCCTCATCGGGATGTGCCGAGGTTGGTGCGTAAACCTGTGTGACCTTCAGCGAATACCGTTTGGTGATTCTGAGTATCAGGTACGCGACCCTCGTCGACACACTCCCAATCTTTACAACGTTGTTGACGAGAGACTTGTGGACGATAAATCCGACACCTCCTTGGGACAGATGGTCGCCCTCTCGATGGTAGAACAAGTTGCCGGACTCGAGGATTGCCGTATCCTCCCCCTCTCTTCGGACCTCGGATAATCCAATAATATGCCAGCGCAACTTGTCTACCTCTTCTTCCAGCTCCAGTATCTTCTCGTCAGTCCTCAGAGTGCGTGCGTTATATGTTGCCAGGTCGAGTCGTCGTAGGTGGCAACCGAACCTCCACCGGAGATTCTTAGCACCCCCTGCCCCGCCGTTACCATAGTCGCCACCGTAACCAGAAATAGCGGGGCCGCCGGGGACTGGGGGCCGTTTTTTTGCGTCGTTATTCATGGGGGGATATTTGCCATAGTTGCCACGCTTGGCGAGCGGGTTGGCAACCGCCGTTTTTTTATTATAACACAGTTGTTATCAGAAAGATGCTGCTGCCCATCTCCTGCCTGTCTCCCTCTGTCGCCTCTTACGACACCCACGTGAAGATATGGGGTAGTGGATATTCTCAACCGCCACTACAAGGCAACCATTAAGAGAGTTTCAAATGAATGCATTGCTTATTTAACTAACAAAAAAGCTAACTTGAAACAAAGAAAACTATCTGTAACAAGAGTCGTTGTCACTAGAACGGAATGAATGAAGAATGAGATGGAATGCTTCACAGCTCGTAATATTATTGGTTCTCGATACCCTCTAGACCGGAACACATAGTGAGAGTACTGTCATTTAGTACCAGTAATAATTAAAGGGGTGGTACCTATCCAGGCTGGCTCTTAATTAGAAAATAAAAGTAAAAGTAAAGTTACATCCTATATACGTCCCACTACTGGGAACAGGCTTCCCCTCATTTCTGCGAGAGTTTTAGGGCAAGGAAGTGTCCGCCGCGCTTCCCTAATGCATGTTGGCGAACATCACATGTCTTCGAAATATTTTTTTCTTATTTTTGAGACATGCAGGTTTCCTCACAATGTGTCCCTTCACCCCGAGCACGTGGTAAATCAGCACTTAAAATTGCAATTAACAATTTCATTGGTGCCAGCGGGGATCAAACCCGGGTTACTCGCGATCTGTTACATTTACAGCAAGCGTAAACCATCTGAGCTACCACGGCTCTTCATCAGAAAATGAGTCGTATTAATAAGTAACCGACATAATTTACGTAGTCTAATTCTATAACGAAATCAATGGAATTACTAACGTTATAATTTTTTTAAGAAAAATAAAATTAAAAATCTTAACAATAATTGGATGAATTAAAATGACATTTAATAAAAAATTTGGAAAATCCAAAAGTGCACGCCTCATAATTTCATTTGATTAAAAAAAAAGAAAAATATCTCTTTTTCCATATTTGAGACGAAAGAAGAGATCCATGAGAGTATTTTATGTAGCCAAGTACCAGTTGTTTTTTTTACATTTTCATTAATTACAATTAAACGAGACTAAATTACTCAGTGATTTTTAAAAGGAACCTGTGCGTTGAGATTAAACAAGAATTATTTTGATACATTTATTCTATCGACCGTAATCGTGCGCCAAACACACATACAAACATCCGGACACCCTCAATTTTTTTTTCAATCAGCTTGTTTTTACACTTAAATACAGAAAATTACTTTTAAAATAATGGAAACATGAAAACGAGTGATTTTTCTCGATATATGAGTATTTTTATTATTTTAAAAGTGCAATAGTAATGTTACGAGCTTGAGGTTCGTGACAATTAAAAATTGCCGATAGAATTACCAAAATTAACTCTTTAATTTACTTTGCACTAATTCAACTTAAAACACTAATAATTAATCACACTGATTCACTTTATTCCGCTCCGAAGCTTCGCTTGTCTCGCCAAATTCAATACTTCCCCGATCGCACCTTGCAGCGCCTATAAATACACATTATCACCGAAACATCCAGAATATTCAAGTGAATACGCGCACCAATCGACAAGGCGCCGAAAGTTCGAGTGTCGGGCTTCTAGAAGCTTAGTTCTTCGCTTCGATACTAGATGGCGCTGTCGGTTGAAAGATTAGTGATGTCATTTTCTGGAAAGCTCCCCTCGCTCTCGTCCCCGTCACTAGATGGCGCTAGTGCCAGGTACATGACGTCAACTTAGGCGCGCAACAGTAAAAACATAAAGACATTTTTAGTTCAGTAAATTACTGGATTTCCATTAGGTGAGAGTCAACGCTTCGCTTATGAGGCGTGCAATAAATAAATAATTTTTCAACTGCCGGTCAATCGTGGGAGACAATAAAGATTTTCATAATTACTGCTCAACGTCAATTCCACCTCACGTTGTGGTGACGCAGCATTGAGTGGTAAAATACAATGCAAATTTTACTCATATTCCAACCTATTTACCCTTCAACATAATCACAAATAAATAACACACACACACACACACACACACACACACACACACATATATATATATATACATATACAAATAAACTGATATAAGATGTTAACATAATATGTATATATGTGATTAAATGGCCCGGTAGATGTTTTCTGGCCTTTCCGATAGGTGGCGCAGTGAGTTTCACTCCGAATTTATTTCGGACTTTTAACATTGTAAATAAAAAAATATCAATAACTGATCACAGTGTTCAGATTTTGTAATTTTCTTTTATTGGATCCTAGTATAGCTATTGATATATGCAACATTGTCTCGACAAAACAAACACTTTTATCGTTTGAATATGACCTCAATCGGCAAGTTGTTTTGAAGTTACAAAATAATGAGATGCTTCAAAGATTGTATATTCTAAGGTAAACATAATACAAAATATAAAAGTAAAAAGTAAAGTTACAGCCTATATACTTCCCACTGCTGGGCACAGGCCTCCCCTCATTTCTGAGGGGGTTTTAGGGCAAGGAAGTGTCCACCGCACTGCCCCAATGCGTGTTGGCGAACTTCACATGTCTTCGAAATATTTTTTTTCTTATTCCTCAGACATGCAGGTTTCCTCACGATGTTTTCCTTCACCGCCGAGCACGTGGTAAAAATATAGGTGTAGCATATTATATATTAACCCATATCGTCCTTAGGCGCTAAAGAGATGGCCAGCAGTATCTTTCTGATAACAATTTAAAATTTTAAAATGTTGCCAAATGTAATTAAAAATTAATAATTAATTAATAATGTAAATTAATTCTTGGAATTATACATAATGAAAACATTTGAATTTGACTACAAATTTTTGCTAAGAATACTTTATTTGTATATATTAAATTAAGCATAACCTATGCATGATTGGGAACGCAGAAATTGGCTGCGTTTGGCAGAAAAAAACGCTGGGAAGCGCTTGTAATCAAAATGGCGAAACTAAACAGTTTTCGGCCAGGAAACGTTTGCTAACTTCAATAGCGCTGACACAATCCGCCATTTTGCTTATTTAATTTGTTTGTTTTGAAGTAGAGTTTATAAGTTGTTTTGTGCAATATTAGTTTCAAGTAATGTATAACGACATGAATAAACATAATTATTATACATGTTATTAAAATTCATGATTGTTAAGTTTTTAATATGAATACTTTACAAACATATATTTAAATTAGGTTAGGTTCCCCCCCCGGTTAAAACTAACATCGTGTCCTGGAGGAAAATAGCTACTTACGATTTGACAGCGCTTACCGCTTACGATCGCCATTTTGCTTACAAGCGCTTCCCAGCACTTTTTTCTGCCAAACGCAGCTAATGTAAACGTACGTTTTACTGATTTACTTACCTGCTCTTTGTACACCGCCTCGATTTTCACAGGAGTAGGCGACGGCGAAATTATCGTAATCCGTTAACAGGATCCAGAAGTCGAGTGCTGCAAAAATGAAGAAACTGATTTGAATACTGACAATTTTTTTGAAAATTATGTTTGTGCTTTTATTAGTAGATATTTTATGTTACTTTCAGACGTAAATTTTTTATATATGTGTGTTTGACATTATTTCTTTCTTTATCAGCCCGATATAGTACAATTTTTCAATTGTGAGAAGAAACTGTCTTAATCGCCATGACACCTGTATCTTATTATCGATGTTGCTCTCTTTTGGTCTGGATATTTCACATCTACCAAATTGACCCGTAATATGCTTGATGAATTTGATTTGATATATATAAGATGGAATGCCACCGTTTACAAATGTCATAAGGTCTCTCAGACCTTTTATATATTTGCCATTTAGGATACCTACTGAAGGAAATAGATTTTCCTTTACAACGGCACCATTGTTTTTATTTTTATTAGATGCTCACTCTCATTATCATCATCATTATTATCAGATATAATTAACTAATGGTGAATTCTAAGGCGCTTTTTTTTTAAAAAGATTAAGGGTGACAAACGAACACACAGTCCACCTGACGGTAAGTGGACGCTGGGGCGCATATATATATATTGTTATTTGTAGTTTATTGATACCCCTGAGAACTAAGATGGAATGTCTCGTTTCTACTAATAAAGGGTCTCCGGTCCACACTTACCTTGCGAAACACAGCAGTATTAAGCTGCTATACTGTGAGAGCGTGGGTCTTTCCCGATCGAGCCGACCCATTCGTCCTCCAACCATAATATATAGCTGCAGCGTGGCTTTGACACGTATAAAGATATTATAATTTATAAGGAGAAAGGAAAAACAAGATGCAATTTGGCTTACTTAAATTATCTGCTTTACAACTTAGATAAAATTAAATGTAATAATTACGTCCCGTCCCGTCGTTAGAGGTGACTTTATTAAATTCCAGAAAGATGTCATGGTTTTCGGCAAATAGCAGTTTGTTCATCTCATTTCAGCTAGAGGCTCGAAAGCCAGAGAGCTCTTATACGGAGCGGTGACGGAAAACAGTTTCAAAAGTACGAGACGTCTAGTGCTGTTAACGCCAGTCCTAGCCAGCGTGGCGTTTAAGACAAATCCTCCCTACAAGGGGAGAGGGTCTCGACCAGAATCAAACTTTGAAACTGTAGTAAGGAAGAAAAACAATAATTAGCGTAAAAAAAAACTCACTTGTTTGTGCTTCAGACACATTAAGCATGAGTTTGGCGGTTCCTTCTTCATGCGTCGCTGTGCCGGTGATTAACTGATAGAAGTTATTATTAACGGCCTCGTTAGTTACGTTGATAACATTATTTTCACGATTCAACTCTAAGGTTGCACAGTCGCCATTTTGTAGTTCGTTATCTGTCCTAGCAATGCCGTACCATTTGCCAAGAAACTGGAAAAAATATAAATGATACAGGTGTATGACGTATGGAAAACATAATAATCTATTAGTACCCTCGAAAACCAAATGAATGCGTTTTCTCTGATCTACCAGAGACTAAGGCCACGTTGTAAATTTGACAGTATGACGATTCCAAGTGTTAGAGCTACGTTGGTATCAACTAAATTATTAATTCAAATTTTACGTGGTGATTTGAAAAATTCGTCAAGAAACCTGCATGTGCAAGAAATTAAAAATGTTTCGATGAGATGTCAGCTAATGCACAGCCAAGGAGCAGTGAAGCGGACTCTTGTTGGCTCCAATATCCCTATTAATTATTGTTATATTTAATAATAGTTAATTATTAATTATTGTTGATAAACTAATTATTGTTTTTGAATTGACATAATATCGTTATATTGAAATCTTATCGCTGAATTTGTTAAAAACTAAGAATTGATAATTATGCTGTTTCTACGCCGATACCGGTAAAACATGTAAATACTCCTAAAAGCTATAATGCGACAACTAATTGTACCATGTCTCTGAAATAAATAAATATATAGGAAGTCAGGGTAGGCTTGTATTAGCTTGTACACAGAAGCCAGTTTTGCAGTCTGTTGTCAATGGGTGCGTTTGGCAGAAAAAAGCGCTAGCAAGCGCTGGAAAGCAAAATGGCGATCGTAAGCCGTAAGCGCTGTCAAATCGTAAGTAGCTATTTTCCTCCAGGACACGATGTTAGTTTTAACCGGGGGGGGGGGGGGACCTAACCTAATTTAAATATATGTTTGTAAAGTATTCATATTAAAAACTTAACAATCATGAATTTTAATAACATATATAATAATTATCTTTATTCATGTCGTTATACATTACTTGAAACTAATATTGCACAAAACGACTTATAAACTCTAATTCAAAACAAACAAATTAAATAAGCAAAATGGCTGATTGTGTCAGCGCTACTGAAGTAGCAATCGTATCCTGGCCGAAAACTATTTTAGCGCTTATAAGCGCTTGCTAGCACTTTTTTCAACCATAGTATAGCTGCCACGTGGCTCTACCGCGTATAAAAATATTTATAAATTCTCATTGTGAAAACGGTACTAAGATCCATCCATTACAGCCTACAAACGTCCACTGTTGGACATAGGCATATATGTTTATATATCATAGATTTCCTCATAGAGGAGTTTTGCCATAGTTGTCACCAAGCGTAGAATTATTATAAAGTCGGCCATAGATGTAGGCCAAGTCTCAACCAACACGAGCTAAGGCAAATTGATACAAGACGAGTGCTAGTCTACATGTTGACCAAGTTTGTATGAGTGAACATACCGACATGTACGACCAACATGTGGACACGACTTGTCAAGTGCAGGTGAGCGTCTTTGATTTGTGCAGAAAACCCGACACTGTTACGAAGTAAAACGAGTCGTGGCAAGCGATCCCGAGTGGTGGAAAGGCACGCCAAACAAACCGTATACACGTTGACGCTCTCCTGAACTCGGCCAGCAATGGTGAGGCTGGGCAAATGTGGTGTCTATACGTTGGTACTCGCCGTCGCTCGACCAGCATGTATAGCCTCTCGGCTGTCCAAAATCTTCTAAAGGTCGCTATTAAAAAAGTACGCGTCTGTCCACAACCTTTAGAAGATTGCAATTTACTTATAAACTTCAGACACGAAACAGCCGCAGTAAATGTATCTGTATCTCCCTCTAACTCGTAAAACATTGTTTTAATATCATTAATGTACTTATCTCGTTATGGTTTTTTATTCACCAAACTGGAAAAAAATCGCTTTTAGCATTTTTACCATGGAATTTAGAAAATATAAAAAAGGTGAATGTACACGTTTACACATATTCTATTAGCTTACTTAACAATAATTCTAACAACATTGAATTTTATAGAGTTTTTGAAGCGACAGTAGCCTAATGGCAGGGCGCGGATCGCGAACTCAAAAGGTCGTGGGTTCGAATCCGCCATTTGATTACTGTCGTGAACCACTCCTAACACAAGCATTTTCAAGCTTACCAGTAGTGGTTAAAAGGAATATTAGTAATGTTAATTAATAAGATTACTAATATTTTTATTAAAAAAAATAAAAAAAATAGTTTCCATTCGTAATTATTAAGATATTGCCATTTTAATGGCATACGCCACGTAGGCAATAAATCACTCGTTTAGGGTTGGACAGTATGGGCCAAAGTGATTTGGGCTGGGACAGTTGAGAGGATAGCTGGCTTAAGGGAGACGCTACTGTCCGTCTGGTTTGTTTCGGTCTATCGTCTCTTACGACACCCACGGGTCGATATAGGGTAGTGGATATTCTCACACCGCCACTTCACAGGAAACGCTAGAAACTGTGCTTAGACATAGTGTACATAAATATTATAAGCCCAAGTTCTGAATGTTAAATTATTTAATTTCTTTTTAGTTCTTTACTGTCGACTTTTACTTCTTATCAAAAATATTTATAACTAGCTGTTCTCTTGCGCTTAATTTAGGTTTTTTTCTAATTAAAAGTAATCTATGTTAATCCTTATAACATCAGCTATCTAACACTGAAAGTCCTGTTAAAATAAGTCCAGCTACTTCGGAGATAAGCCGTAACAAGCAGACAGACAGTTAGACAAAATATTTAAAAATTGTGTTTTTTTATAAGTGCCGTATATTATACTTTCATATAATGTCCTCCAGACCGAATTTCGGCGGCCTGCCTCAACGGAGGCTAGCCATCGGCGCAGGACAGGATTATAGTGCCCAAGATTATAGTGCGCAAGCACAGGTGCACTCTCTATTCCCTCACTCTCATAATCCGATGGGATGGTAAACCGCCACGACCGGAGAAAGATCAGCCGCAGCACCAACGTCTTTACGTGCTTTCCGAGGCACGGGGGTGAGACACCGCTAACTTCCTGACTCCGGGCAGCTACTGAGAATTTCTTGACAGAAAAACTCAATAATTGATTTTTTGGCCCGACCCGGGATTCAAACCCCTCATGATTAGCAGTCGCACTACCATAATCACTAGACCAACGAGGCAGTCATACTTTCATATATATAGCTGTTATTTTGAAATAACAAAGAGATACTTCAATTTTATTTATTTGTATAGATAGTAAAAGTATAAACATATTTACTCATTAAAAAGGTTGAAAATACTGGTCATTTTAAGTTATATCGCAATTAACGTAGATAACTACAAGTGTAGCGTTGTCTCAATCAATACTAGTACGATATTTTTATTATAAACAGTTTTTTATAATAAATTGGTTTCACCCCGATTTTCGAAAATCGAGTTTTCATCAGATCTCTATGTTTTGAGATCCCAGGAAGCTATTCTGACTAATTTCACGTGGATGCCCATAAGGATGTACGTATGTATTTGTGTGTGTGTGTAAGTAAACCTTTCATAACTTTTGAACGTCTTGATCGAGTGAGATGCGGTTTACGGCGTTCTAAAGATATCAATGTGAAATAGATTTGTTGATAATATGAACTGATTCGGACAAGTAGATTTTGAGAAATCTCAAAAATAAAAATTTTGAGAAGCTCTTAACCTCTAAAAATGACGTCGAATGCCGTTTGAAAAATAAAAATCAGTTCATTCGTTAGTGAGATATCGAAGGAGAAAGAATTTGAAAAAAAAAAAACATAACTTCGAGATTTCGCAACATAATTTGGTGAAATTTGGACCGCTTTGCATTTGAAATTAGCGGGAAGTTCCAATGATTGCCTGCAGGGTCAACCAATTTTTTTTTCGCGGAACTCTAAACTTTTCTAAAAAAAATGTGACGTGAAGTTACTCCATATAACATCAGCTATGTGCTAGTGAAAGCCCCGTCAAAATTGGTCCAGCCTTTTCAGATATTAGCCGGAAGAAAAAGGCAGACAGACAAACGGACAGATAGACCAAAATTTTATTTTTTTTGTTATAAGCACTGTGCATACTTTCATATGCATTTAGTAAAAGCTGTTATTTTGACATTACAAACAAACGCTCCAATTTTATTTGTTTTCATAGATGTATAGATATAGATTGTGTCTACTGTATTATCGATTTTTCTTATCGATGAACAGACAAGTAATAAAGATATTGACTATACGGGCATATCAAAATTCCCCGCTATTACTTGGAAGAACACTAGAAATTGCGAAAATACTAAAAAACGCTATTCAACTGACGGGGAAGGACCACGCTCTCACAGAACACCAGCGTGAAATAGCAGCTCAAAGCTGCTGCGCTTATTATGGTGAGTGGAAAGAACCCAAAACCCTTCTTACTGGATACGAGGAAATCCATTGGACTAACCACAGCGGTCGCATCGCGTCTGCATTTTAATTCTTAATCGAGGATGTTAGTAAATGTCTATGGGCCACAGCGTCCATTTACCATCATCAGGTGGGCTGTGTGCCCGATTGTCACTCTTATTCTATAATACATATGAAAAATAAAACCTCTGTCCTGGGAAGAACCAGCAAAAAACCCAGCGGGACTTTAAAAAAATAGTTATACAATGTCAGTGGTCACAAAACATTTATATAATTTATTTTGGAAACAGCTTGAAAGCCACCATCTCATTCCCATGGGTTATTATCAACCATGCATTCATTTATACTATAATAACCCTTTTCATATAGTTTTCGTTTAATTAAATATTTAAACGTGGTAATAGAGAGACCTTGTATATTTTCTGGGACTTTGTTGTAATAGCGTATACATTGCACCAAGAATGAATTACTGACTCTGTGGAGTCTAGAAACTGGTATCACTAGCTTGTGTTTGTTCCTAGTGTTTACAGAGTGTATATCACTTTTTTTTACTAAAACTACCTTTGTTTTTGTAAACATAATTACGTCAAATTTTTGTAGATATGCGGAGAGGCTAAAGTTAATATATTTATTTCTTTAAATTTTTCTCTAAGGGACTCTAATTTATAATTTCTATAATGATATCATGCTATGACAACACAATTTAAAAAGGTCAGGTTGTGATAGTGTAACTGTGATATGAGTCATTCAAGTTTTTTACTTGTGATAATCATTTGATAATCTTAAGCCATTAGCCAATATATTACTCATAAAATTGCCGTGCAAATGACGTTTTGCTACTATTGACGTCTGCAGCCAAACTCAAACATAGAAGGTTAAATGTGCGTTGTCACCGCTAACGACTAGGATGGAATACCTCACAACCTTTTTTTAAATATAATAAGGGTGACAAACGAGCACATAGTCCACCTGATGGTTAGTGGATGCTCTGGCCCATAGACATTTACATTTATCCACGATTAAAAATCAAAACGCAGATGCGTTCTCGCCGGGAGGACTAAGATGAAATGCCTCGTTTCCAGTAAAAAAGGTATCCGGTTCTCTACACTCATCATACGGAACACAAAGCATGAAACTACTATTTTACGTTGATATTCGGTGAGAGCGTGGTCCTTCCCTAGTCGAACCGACCCATTCGTGCTACAACTATACTACTAATATTACTGTGGCATGGCTCTACCACGTAAGTAATATTCATATGTTACTTTTATAAAATGATTTGTTGTCGTTGGAGAACAGTTATGAGGATTTTCACCTCTGTCTTTGGCGGTGGCAATGCATTTGGATTTGCAGGTTTTTCTCTATGAAATTGGTTACAGTTATCCACGTGCTGAAGAGACCATCTAGTGTACTGCTAACTTGTTTTTCATTACAGTACGTTTGCCCTGACAAACATCCAACACGTAATGTTTTGAAACAAATCGCATAAAACAAATCAAACAACATGTTTTGTTAATAATAGATATTAAAATTAGTTAACTATTATAGATAGTAAAATTTTCAACAGACATTCAAACTTATCTTTCAACGTGATAATATTTCTACAAATTTGTTTTAAAACATTTTGTTTCTGTATTTATAAAGATATAATATAATTAAAATACGTAATGTACAATAAATTGTCAAACATATTTAACTACATTATGTTCTTTGACTATGCAAACGCTTTTTGATACATTAAACAGTAAAACAGTGTTTAAAACATGTTTTTTTTTGTAAAAATTGCGTCAGTGCCAACTCACGGTTACAGCAAACAAGTCTTAACCATCAAGTCAAAGACCTATACTTGTAGCCACATATATCTACTATCCCATATCATCCCGTGATAGGAGGCGACGGAGGGAAAGTGAAACAGGAGATGGGCAGCATCATTTTCCAACTCCGAATAAAATAAAACGTTGCGGTTGCCAAACCGCTCGCCAAGCGTGACGACTATGGAAAGATCCTCCCCCATTGGGCAATCTATGGGGGAAACCTATGTTCAGCAGTGGGATTTTAGGCGCTAAAAGAATGTTAAATATAATTATGATTACTTATTAATTAATTTTTAACATCTTTGATGCTTTGAGAATAGAATCAGGCGATAAATGATGATAATCATCATATAACGCCTGATTCTTTAATTATCTTAAAATGGATTTGGTGGATCGATATATAATCACAGCTATGAATGTTATTTACAGCGACAATCACTCGGCCCTATCTAGTTTTTTTTTCTGCCAAGATAATATTTCATTTCTGCATGATATCTGGCTCATGGGATGGCTCACTTCATACATATTATGTTATCGACCGTTGATAAATTTATTAAGGTGACTGTTGCTGAAACCATAATCTTATCATAAAACAAAAAATAAGTTATAAGCAAACGAGTATACCGCTTTAAACAACTGAGATACCATGGGTGCGAGTTGGGTTGCGTTACCAGCTTTTTAAAAATGATTAGCCTTTTCCTTGAAGTTCTCTAAGTCGTATTGATTCGGGAAATTACACAAAGAATTCGGTCGGGGAAGAAAACTTCTGGTAACTCGCACATTTGTGAATCTCCAAGTGTCCAGGCGATATGGATTATCATCTTTATCATATAGTGATGTATGTCACGTTATCACGTGAATTTTGTCACGATGTGCGATGGTGAAATTCTCTACTGATCACCACCCGTTTGCATAGAGAGTATGTAAAGGCATACATTTTTTCGTACTTTGAATCAAACCGAACAGAAAGAATTCGGTCGGTTGACGATTCGGGCGACTTCGCTGGTAGCGATCAAGTGAAGAGAGGCACTGGGATGCCCTGGGCAAGAAATGTGAACAGTATTCCATGTGAAGCTATACTTGCGCCTTTTAAAGTTGCAAGCGTTGTCGGCATGAAGTACTAAGTAAGTTCCGCTCTACTGATTTCGACAAACTTTTTAGAGGTTATTTTGGCCTTCCGTTCTAAGTGTTACTCGGTAAGTAGTTGTCGGAGACGGGAACTGTTATTATTTTTTAAGAAAAAATTGGTAAATTGTTCAGTATTATATCTGAAGCCTGCCAGAGGGATAAGCAGAAACACATACTAAAATTCTGTCACACCTCTCTCGTTTCTTTCACATTTTTATATTTACGGATACATACTCGTTGCTTAAGGGTTATTTGGTTAATCTTAAATATATCGCTAATTTAGTCGATAAACTTTAGTCTAAGGCGATACTCGTCGACTCTGCCACTCGCTGCTGTAGCATAAATTTGCTTTGTTGTGTTGTAAGCGTGTTACCACACATTATGGTAGAGACCAATACATCATTGTGAATTGTAAATTACGTGCTTTTTTGACATAAGATTAAAAAGGCATATTTACTCCATGTCCCGCATTCACCCTTCTTTCTATAGCCTTGTCATGTCTGCCATCACTGCTGAAAATACATCCTAAATACGTATTGTCATTCATTTGTTCAACCAACTGCCTTCATAGCTGTTGTCTTTTTACACGGTTTGATATAAAACTATTAATAGTATCTACAGTTATAATTTGTTATAATCCTCTCAGAAATGAGAGGAGGCCTGTGCCATGCAGTGGGACGTATATAGGCTAATATTACTTTTATTTTACTTTTACAGTTATGATTGGTCGTAACAATTGGTGCCTGGGACATAGCTATAAGTTGGATAATTTTAAGTAACACAACAATTAAAGCTCACTCCTCATTTGTGTGCATTAGAAGTACAACACTATTTTTAAATTAGATGTTGTTACTTATCGTACATTTACAATTATAAATGTTTGTTAGTAACCTTATACAATATATACCGTTATTCAAATATATGTATGTAAAAGTATTATAAAAAGCTTACTCGAGTCAAGTTGAAATCCGGCTGCAATTCAATGTTCGGATCACACTGTCCGAATTGGATTAACTGTGCACTACTTAAACCTAAAAGTCCTAAAAGGCTAAATATTGCTATAAATACACCTTTCGTCATTTTGAGCACATAGTTTCCGACCACACAACACTTCAAGGTAACCCGGGAAAATGGCGATATTTTTTATAAATTATCACATTTATACATGAAATCTTATCAATATATTTATCTTCAGTGATAATTATTCGTTAATCGCGATGAATTCATGCTATAAAAGAATGCTAAATCAATATTCGATCATTAAAGATAGCATAATATATAATATAATATATAATATAAAAGGCCTGGCGGCAGCGTTTGGTGGGGCGTGCAGCGTAGCGGAGCGTGTGACACACATTTGGGTGGCTGCCGCTCGGGGCATTCTCGGGGATTTCATTTACCGCCGAGTACATCATTTTAATTTTTTTTTTAAATGTAAAATGTTGCGGTCGTTCCACTCGTACTATATGTCATTTTACTCTCATGTACGTTAGTAATATATATCAGGTCAATACACAAATACAAGTCAATGCTCATGACTGCCTACAAAATTTAGTTATTAATTTTGTCTGTTGAGAAATTCTCAGTAAAGGCCTGAAGTCAGAAATTTGCCGGTGTTTCGCACGTTGTTGGCAAACACGTAAAGGCGATGATCTTCCGTCTGATCTCTCCGGTGGGTTGGGGTCAGATTGCGGGTCCATTGGACAATGAGAGTGAGGGAATAGAGCAAGTACTTATGCTTGCACACACACTCGGGTACTATATCCTGTCTTGGGCAGGTGGCTAGTCTTCGTTGCGGCTGCTGCTGTGACAGAAATTCGGTCTGGAGGGCATTATTATCTGTCATTTTAGAGCTGCATGATGCTGTCGTTCTCTGTAATGTTACCAACTAAACTTGTAGACCAAAAATTGTCATCTAAAATATATTTAGTTTACTCACGTGCGTCTTGACTTTAAAATAAGTAAAAGAGGTTGCCCAATTTTGTGGCAGACGCCCAACACTAAGACATTCCAGTCTCATGTCGTGAATAAATTAAGTAGATTCCATTAGTGTTCCGTTTTAAAAGTCTAAGTCAAAATATAATATTAACTAATAGTCAACTCATTACGTCAAAAACGATCCAAGCAGAAAAGTCATTAAAAACACCACTTTATTAAAATTTTGGATAAAATTTTGTTTTTGAGATTTCTCAAAATCTACGGTTCGAAATCGGTTGAAACATTTAAAAATCTAAGCTTGGTGAAACCCTTTCGAACGCCATACAGTTCGTTCAAGTCGGCCAAAGCGTTCAAAAGTTATGAGAGGTTTACATACATACATACACACACACACACACACACACACACACACACACACACACACACACACACGCAAACACGCACGCGCGCGCACGCGCGGACGCACCCACAATCGTACGCACACATGCATGCATGCACCCAGGGACGCACACACATACACACAAACACTAACATAGTGACATCCTCCTAGGAAAAGTCAGAATAGCTTCCTAGGACTTCAAAACGTAGAGATCTGATGAAACCTCTATTTTCGATACCTAGGGTGAAACCAAAAACTTACCGATTTTTGAAAAATCATTGATTTTCATAGCGGGAAGTAAATAAAAAGTGTAAACTACTGCCTAAAAACGAAAGAAACATTTGTATTTCTTCACCATTACCTTCCACTTCAATTACAATAATTCGAGTACATAAACATTTATCTTATACTTTTCTTTGAATTTTTATAATATGGAAGTTGATTATGTACCTATGACTACTTTAATAATTACAAGAAAAAAATAATTATAAAATAAAATAAATAAATCTTTTCATTTTACCAATTATCTGACTACAATAAAACCTCTTACTTAAGTATTAGGTATTCGGCCGAATAGTACCTATATATTCGGTATTCGACCGAATAGGATAAAAGTAGCAGAATAAGCCGGATACCGAATAGTAGCCGAATATTCGTTGCAAGTCAAAAAAATAGCGATTAAGGCGTTTTATCAGTTATATTTTTGTAATAATTATTATCGATTAGAAGTCTCTAGAATCAGATCATCCGACAAAAAGATAAGTTTTTGATATTATCGTGATAAATACATATATAAACTATTTGACTCTACCCAAATAATCGGCAATTATAAAAGCCAACGTAAACTTAGGTTTTTTACATAATATATTCCTGGCATTACCCGTACATTATTACGGTGAAAATCGAATACACTAATCGAACTCGGCTATATCTACTTGTAGCCGCCTAAATCTGCTTTATATAAAAAAAAAAACGAATATAAATAAGCAATTAGGCGAAACTAAATTGTTCGTCTGGTACCGATTAGTAAAAAAACGTGACGTGAAGTGACGAGAACCATACAATAATTGTGAAAAGACATTTTTACTTAATAATAATTCATTTTTACTTAATAAGATTGTGGGCCCCACAGGCCCACAAGCTTATTTGAGGATACAAGTTGTCTATTAGCCAAACTCACTTAGCGGACTGTACGTTCGTTTTTAACTGACTTCAAAAAAAAGAATAGGTTCTCAATTCGTCTGAATATTTTTTTTAATGTTTGTTCACCGATTACTCGAAGACGCTTGAACCGTTTTGGAAACTTCTTTTTTCAAAAATCAACAATAAATTAATTATATTGAAGTTACCATAAAAATCGGTCCCCGAAACGAAACATAGCATCGATATGTACTAAGTGCCAAAAAACGACTGGCCGTACGATTATATCGGGGTTCACGTAATGATTTCCTTTATTTACGCGAATACCACCCGTTGAATAAAGCTATTTTTATGGATTTTATCGCTTTTAATTTTCTTATTTTTCAATTCCCGACGTTTCAGTTGCTTTACAGTACCCGGAGTTACTGAGATGTTTACGTTCCGATGCCATAGTTAGCCCCGCTACTTTCAGGTTTTAAATATTAATTTTTGGTCCGTTCTACATAGAACAAGCTTACAGTATTTCGAAGTCTTGCAGTGGTTTGCTTGGTTTTGGCAGTATCTATTTATATTCTCTATAGGAATAAGGACGTTTTTTTTAATTTCAATAGCCTCGCGTAAGGATATCCTTGGTATGAATCTGTGTTATTTTGCGAGAATTGTGGTCTATCAAATCTGATATAATGGCGGGGACGTTTTTGAAAGTGTTCGCAGACTGCAGCTTTTAGTTAGCTGACATGTCATGGTGACATGCACATGTTAGCTGACAAGTCTTGAATGTTTGTGAAATGTTATATATGACAGTATGCCTATATAGTCTATATATATTATACTACATGTCTCATGACTATACTTTTGATTTTTTTCTTTTTGTGTGATAATAAACAACTTGAATTTGAAATTCAGTAAAGGTGATTCGGATTTTTTAATATTGCTTAAAAGTGACAAAATCAGAACGGGTGAAACCATTTCCATTTTCTTCACGATGACGCGGTAGTGCAGTTTAGGTTTCGAGTATGATAGCTTGTGCAACAAACTGTAAAACAGAAAACAGTTCACACATTGCTTTATCCGTTTCATTGACTTTTTTGTGTTTTTTGTCGTACAGTATATTTTTCTTATAATAATTAAACAAGATTTTTATTTATCATTTAGTTAGGTCAATTTTTATTTTTCCTTTTAATTTGTTTTTTTACCTTTTAAAATGTAATTGTAAATATTGAGTTTGTAATTTGTTTTCTTTTACGTTTTCTTATTTTTATATTTTTTAAAGTTAACACTAAACTTACTTTTAATACTTAATAGGATGAATGTATGAAATATTTGACGGCCACGCATTCCTGGATCGGATACAACTCCGATTATTTGAAGTGAAAATTTATATAGGCACGTTGGGAACTTTTGGGATCGAGAAAAAGCACTGAACTCGAGTAACCGTTACGTAGATATACAAAAATATCTTTTACAAGTTTGTGAAGCTAAGAATTTTCTACTTCTACGACTGAAAGTTTTTTCTTTCTTAATTAACCATTTCACTATCCCCAGACTCATATATGAACATTACGATTGTTTAACTATTGTGTCCTTTTTGCAAACAGGGAAATTGTTATAATTTCTCTACCTTATTTACTCTCGAAGCTAAGAAATTTATTTTTTATATTATATAATTAAGAAAGAAGAATTCTCAAAGGTTTTTTTAGCCATTCTGAAAATCAGCGTTTTGTTTTCGCCACAATGCTGATTAATGGCCTTTTTTGGCATGCCTTCGAAGTAAAAAGCAGAATTTATTAAGTTCTTATTGAGTTACTTGTTATAATATAAATAGGATATTGTTGTGTATGTCAACGGTCTGGGTAAACCAAAAATCAAAGCTAAAACAAAGTATTTCTTTCTTTCTATCTTTTAACAAGATTATTCGCACGCAAATCTCCTAGTTACTGTGTTCACTCCAGTGTCATACCCAGATAGGTTCAGTGTTAGTAATGACGTCACAAAAATATTATTGATATATTTGCATTAATATCACCCAAAGCTGTTTGACGTCAAATGTTTAATTTTAAATTACAAGCTTTTCTTTACTTCAAAGTACAGTGTAAGTTTCATTCAAAGTAAAGCTTATAATTCGATGAAGTATTGAACATTTCTTCGCTGCTATGTACTATATGGCAAGGAATGTACATTATTTTTATTTATTTACATTTTATTTTAAATATTATGGTTGTCGGGTCACTTTCATTCAAATTAAATGCATTAAACCGTGACTGAAATAAATATTAAATATAATAATTATTATAAATCGTTCGTCGGTTACTTTCCCTTTTCCCATAACCTCCACGCGTTCTTCCCTGCCATCTGGTTGGGTTTTCATTTATTTGTTTCTTTTACATAAAACATATATACACATTATAAATAGTAAATAGAAATATATAAGTATTATATGTACTTAACACTACACAACACAACATTAATTTATTACAGTCTATCACAGGCCACTGCTAAACTGCATACAAAGACCTTCACATAGATTATCTCATAAATGGGATATTTGAACTTTTTTTGTTTGGCAACGCAGTTTTTTTATTTTGCCTGTTGTTACTAGGAGGAGGTTGCCACCCATGTCCTGCTTTGTGTCTTATATGTCAATATTTATATTTATATTATATTCAATATATATATTTTTTTTATACATTTATTTTTATTTATATGTCCCAACCAAACTATCGCAGAAGTGACTACCGGTGGAGTAGAGAGTGGAGACCTCTTCCAGGCAAACGTAGTGTGGGACGCCCCCTGACCAGATGGAGCGACGATCTGCGCAGGGTGGCTGTTAGAAACTGGATGCGTGTAGCTGAAGATCGGGCTAAGTGACGCATCTTGCGAGAGGCCTATGTCCAGCAGTGGACTGCCGCAGGCTGATGGTGATGATGATGATGAACCATGAACAAAAAAAATGAAAAA